ATTTTGATAGATTAACTTTGTACCTTTGAACTTTTGTCACCTTCTCCTACAATGTTTAACTCTTGTAACATATGTTACATTTGGGATTACAATGTCCTTGTAAAGTACAGATTCTAGTACCTTTGTTGGTTAGTAGTGAGCTGGTTAGGTGGCTGACTTTGTGTGCTGGCGATTAGGTGCCTGACTCTGAGGGTGTGGGTTCGAATCCCGGATGGGACTCAGCCCAACAATAGTACTAGAATCTGTACTTTACTAAGAAAGTGTAATCCCAAATATAACATATGTTACATTTGACCACTTTCTAAATGGCATTGTGTATTCATAATGTTTAGCTCGTTACCACAGTTAATCAATAGTAGTTGATTTCCAATTACAATAAACATCATAGAAATCAACACAGATATAAATGAAAGACACGTGTCTAGTAGCTATTAGGACACGCATTTTACCATGTGTTGGAATACTGGCGTCGTGTTCAAATATATCCTCTTTGCGACATGTCATCATTATAGACACAATGCAGTGTGATCGACCAGTCTGCTTTATTTATCTTGGTTACATCAAAGTGTTATTAATAAACTATTTCTCCATTATCAGTTTACTATAATCAGCACCGACAGGTATTACTAATCAGAAACCATCAGTACTTTACCCAATAAGTCTGGAACCAATTACTCTGTAAAACATTCCATCAAACGCCTACAGCGATTTTAATGCTAATCAATAACCGCACACGAAGGTATATTTCTTGGAGGAAAAAGACTCGCGCTTATGGAACGAGAATGGAATTCATTCTCTCGCTTTGTTTTGAGTTTTTGTTTCTTTCTGGTTTACAGTTATGTTGACGCAGGTAAACAGAAGAAATAATGTCCAATTCGTTGGTTTTCGTTTCTCGAGGCAAAACGCATAAAAATAATACACAAAGAGGAATTATGATATTGACGACTGTACCTTTTCGATCTTATTTGACAATGGTTTTCATGTGTAGGAAACAGAACAGTCCTGCCGCACGTTCAAGCGATGACAGGTAAACATGTACAAAACTCGGTAAACATGTACAAAACTCGGTTCATTCAGATGTTCCGACTGAAAACATTGAGTTAACTGAATATACATTCATATTCACAGAGGAAGATCGATGGTTTAATCACTTGCTGCTTCACACACAAAAGCCCCTGGGTAAAATTTGATCCTTTTAGTTATCTTGCTGGTCATCTAGTGGGTCAATATTTGGTTGGCTCCGAATCAGTATACTCTGTCTGAGCGACGTATCTGTGTTAAACTGCAGCCATTGTTTCTCAGACACCACCCGATCTATCGATATCGAGATAATAACTCGATCTATATGAATGTGACAGCTCTAGGGTTTTGGTAGCTTAGGCTACAATACCCGCTGATGTTGGCGATGACACCAGATCTGACTGACTGACTGACTGAGTTTGGTTTTACGCAGCTTTTAGCAATATTCCAGCAACATCACGGCGGGGGACACCAGAAATGGGCTTCACACATTGTACCCATGTGGGGATTCGAACCCGGGTCTTCGGCGTGACGAGCCAATGCTTTAACCACTAGGCTACCCCACCGCCCCACACCAGATCTGAGCAAATGTTGTAATTCAGGTACACAATGGTGTGCTACAACTGTTCGTACACAGGGGCAGTTAAAAGTCCTTAAGGGACCGTTCATAATTTTATGTACAATGTGAATGACACCCCCTTCCCCCCTAAAATTTATGTACAAAGTAAGTGACCCCGCCCTGCATGTCATGTACAAAGTCAATGACCCCCCCTCCCTTACCATCATTTTTAAACATAATATTTTGCTATTTTTATGTACAAAATTGTTGAAACCCCCACCCCACCCCCACCCCTTAATACATGTGTACAAAATTGATGACCCCCTGACTTCCCAGAACATAATGGGTGACCCCCCTTAAAATCATCATCATCCCCGTAGCCATAAAGTATGAACGGTCTCTAAGTTTGTGTAGAGACCAATTATATCCATCATTGAGTAGTGCTGGTTCAGATGTTACACAAGGAAATGGTGTAACCCCATGTTACTGCATAAGGAGTGCTCGCCTTCTTCGTGGACAGGAGTAAAGGTTGGTCTGAGGACCCTGTCTAGCTCACTGAATGAAGACTCTGGACAGCTAGGTTAGATGTAAGTCCAGTAGATTTATATATTTCGAGAAAATATGGCCTATCACTTGAATGAATGACCACCCGATCCCGTTAGCCGCCTCTTGCGACATGCATGAGTAGCTGGAGACCAACTGTAACCCGGATCTTCTGCAACATAACTCGTCCCCATATGGAACGATGCTGTTATGTGCGAAAATACGACAAACTAGTACAAGTAACATATAACATGTAACATATGCTATATTTGTGATTACACTCTCTTAGTAAAGTACAGATTCTAGCACTGTTGTCTTTACTAAGAAAGTATAATCCCAAATATAACATATGTTTACATTCGACCACTTTTTAAATGGCATTGTGTAATCATAGCTTTCGGTCCTGGGAGCCGTGACAATTTACACTTATAATCAGATGGGTACACAAAGTCCGCAGTCTAGACTACCTGTTGTCCTACTTACATTTTGCGTAAGGTCGAGGTGGGTGAGCGGTTAGGCGGCTGACTTTGTGTGCTGGCGATTAGGTGCCTGACTCTGAGGGTGTGGGTTCGAATCCCAAATAGAACTCAACCCAACAAAAGTACTAGAATCTGTACTTTACTACGAAAGTGTAAAACTAAATATAACATATGCTACATTTGACCACTTTCTAAATGGCGTTGAGTAATCACGATACAAGTAAAGACTAGGTACGTTGATACCAACAACCCGTTGTTGAAATCAATTATGGCAAAATGTGATCCCAGTAGAAATGATATGTCACCATTATCAGCGTTACAGTCAATAATACCGCTGTTGGACTCTCTGTTTAGATGTCTTTAGTGTGTGTCACAGAGAACGCCTCCTTACTATTCAACCGTGTGTTGAATCCGCCGAGTAGTTTGTTTACAGCAGTTTGTTCTGACCACGAGTGAAATCAACGTTTCTAATATAGTAATGGCATAACATTTGCTCAAAGGGACGCATTCAGTAATGTCCTGTCACGGAGACAGTGAATCACTGTCAATATTAATGGAACTCTGGCATTAGTTGATGGGCTAGTAGCATTAGGTTAACGGGAACGTGAGAGCCAGACACGTTCCGAGTCACAATGGTAAACTGTCACTTTCACTATGTAACGCACTCTGATGAACATGCAGCGTACACGCCGTTTCAACATGATATATTTACGGAAATAAGTGACTGTGCATAACAATAATTGCATTAAATAAAAAATCAGCGTCTCCGCACTGTGGGTATGCTGGAGACTGGAATGGCTCAAAATGAAATGGCCAGACATTTTAGTGTCCATCGAACACGATCTCATCTCTAGGGAGAAGTTTTCAACATGATGGGAAAACGAGAGATTTGCCTCGGACAGGCCGTCCACGCGTGACGTCACATAACGTCAGCAAGACCACAACCTTCGACTGACCCATCCAAGGAATCGATTCCAGACTGCCAGTTTGACTGCTCGGACCATTCCTGGCTTACGTCAAATCAGTTCCAGTACTGTACTGAACTGACTGGGGAGGCACAACATCCGGCCCCGACGGCAGGCAATGCGTTCATTTTTGCTCCAACGTCACCGACAGGAACGTCTTGCCTCGTGCTGACAGCATCTACAGTACAGAAGACAAGATTGCAATGGTGTTCTATTCACTGACGAGTCGAGATTTCATCTGGAAAGCTGAGATGGCAGGGCAAGGGTGTACAGGTGGCGAGGTGAACGGTATGCTGACTCGTGGGTTGTTCAACGTGGACAGTTTGGTTGCGTAAGCGTTATGGTATGGGGAGACATCACTTCTGATGGTCGGACACAACTAGTCATTGTCAATGGCAGTCTGACAGGTCTGCGATACAGGGAAGAGATGATTGGGCCTCATGTGCAGCCGTTCATTCAAGGACAGAGACGTAATTTCACGCTTCAGCAAGATAATGCCCGTCCATATGTCGCTCGTGTTGTGACATATTTCCTGAGACAGCAGTACATTCCGGTTTTCCCCTGGCCAGCTGTTTCTCCGGACGTGTCCCCTATCGAGCACGCATCGGATGAAATGGAGCGACATTTACCACGAATCATGTTATTATCTTTTGGCATAAAAATACCATAACATCAAAAAATGCACAGTTACTTTATTCCAGTAATATATTTATCATACTGAGCGTAGGTATGATATATTTCTGCTAAACAAGAGAAGCTGTTGGAGAATCCAAAGAAATAGTGAAAAACGTCAGATTTTTCTTGGTCAATGTCCGCGTGTATTGGTCTTGCGTGGTAGCCCAGCGGTTTTTGGTGCCTTTCCCACCCGCTGGTCTTGTGATCGAATCCCAGTTTACCTCGATGCTTGGTCTGTCTGCACCACACCCTCCTCGGAGATCCCGGATGTCGTGCATGTATACACCCGAGTCACTTTCCCCTACACACGACACAGTGACGTCATTTTGGTTTGATGTTTAACGCTGCCCTCAGCAATATTCCAGCTATACAACGGTGACATAATTACTGTACTGAGTCAACTCATACAAACATTATCGTTATCACAAGAAAAAAAATATTTTATTTCCTGGGCTAGATTTACCATTATCAATTTTTATTCAATCGTTAATAACAAAACTTTGTACATTCCCTACTGTAAATAATGCCACAATTAGTAGTAATTACTGACTTTTTACGTAATTATATTTATATTGAAACGAGGGACAAAAGGGTTGATATGTGTAAATATTTATTTGTGATGCCATTTGATCATTGCACTCCTGCCTGCAGTTTTCTATGGCAGATGATATTTTCCAATAAACCCCAAATGAAACATTTCTATATCAGTTATTGATGTATCCTGTTCTTGCTACTGATCAATAGCGTCACTGTTTGCAGACTTGTTCAAACTGAGGATGAAGATGGCGGACCTTGTGCATCTGACTTTGGTGGTGCTTCTCCTTGGTAATGTATTTGACACTTGTCTCTTCTGATATCATGATGTGGACCACTTTGCCCTCCCTTTGTCCATTAACTACGAGTGCTAAAATTCCCGTCTATAGATTTGCTACTTGCTTCCAATTGTCCACTACCATTACCAACCAGCACCAGGTAACTACTGGCTTCTCTTGTTAAGTGTCCACCTTGGTTACCTTATTACTCTTGGTCCGTTGAGGATCCGGGTTAGAATTGGTCTTCAGGAACCCATGCTTGTCGTAAGAGGCGATTAACGGGATCGGGTGGTAAGGCTCGCTGACTTGGTTGACACATGTCATCGGTTCCCAATTGCGGAGATCGATGCTCATGCTGTTGATCACTGGTTTGTCTGGTAGAGACTCGATTATTTACAGACCGCTGTCATATAGCTGGAATATTGCTGAGTGCGGCGTAAATCTAAACTCACTCACTCACTCGAACTGCCCAGTCCTTGTTCTATCCCCGTAACGCCAGGGTAACGACAAGTAACATGTATTAACGTGTTGTTTGGTGTCCGTCGTGGAGAGGTGATCTAAACCATCCCATCCCTCCTGACCCTCTACACCATGGAGTCTGTGTGTAAGAAACTGAAACGTATACCACTTGTTCTGTCGTCTAGTCTCACAGGCAACACAGCCAGCATAATGCCATGTGAACTGTTTAGAGTTTTTTACATCGATTGTTTAAAATAGACGAGAAATGTGAAAGTGACGTCGCGGAGATTTTTTAAGAATCTTCCATTTATATATATATATATATGATGATGATTTGAAGATTTTACGTACGCTTTCCGACATGAGAGGTATTTCGCACACGACAATTATTCATTTAAATGACTTTGTTCCCAAATAGCTTATTGTCCTACAGTGGGATGACCATTTAATGCACGGCGGACTTGGACTTAGAATGTACTGACGAAAATGATTTGGGTGAAGAACGTATGTTCACAGGAGATGTGCTGAAAACAATGTGATGATATTTCTTATTTTCATCCTAAACAAATTGTGCAACAATATTTTCCCGGAGCAAGATCATCCTATCGTGTCACCCAAACCACAGGTCCTCGTGTCTTTGCGAGGAATAAAGATTTTGAAAAAATATTGTAAAAAATGAGATGCCCAGCCCGACTCGAAATGCTTCACAGTACAATACATCATGACAAGGCCGAACACTTCGGTGCACCCCACCCGACTGCTTTTTGCCGATCGCTACGCTACCATCGCATGCAATCGATTAAAATTAATGTAAACATAAGCATGGATGATTGGCCTATCGATCACCACTCATGACACCTGCCAATTCTTCATTGTTATTTCTGCAAGTCGATTGAAACCCGATTTTGACCCTCAACTAAACGATCTTGACACAAATGGATGACGATATGTCCGGACAAAACGGGGGTTTGGTCGAAGCAAGCCCTTTGATTGGTCAACGCTTGCAAATCTGCACATTCTTTGTAAATTCGCTGAAATATTTTCTTTCATCGACTGCTTTATGTAAGAATATTTTTCGAGCAATGACTTCTCAAAAGAAAGCATCAGTTGTAAATGTCTCCTTAACAAGCATCAACTAATCAGAGGGCTTGCTTCGACCACACCCCCGTTTTGTCATGATGTATTGTACTGTGAAGTATTTCGAGTCGGGGGTTATCTCAAACAATTATTTTTGTAATCTTTAATCTACGCAAAGACACGAGGGCCTGTGACCCAAACCTCAATATCACCCGCCGAAAATTTGATGGACAATTCTAATTTTGTTATAGCAACTGCAACCAGGGGAGACTACGCGGCTGATGAAGCTGCTCTTCTGACAGCCATTCGAGCCAACACCAGCGTCGACGTCAGACCTGTACAGAACACTATCGTGCTTTCAACCATCTTGTTGTTTGCTGTCAATGATGTCGTAAGTGTTACCTAGCACACTTCCGGTCGGTGAACTGAATCAAAACGTTCTTATTCTGGAGACCTCTGGGACTCTGGGACTTCTGATGGGAATGTCTTTGTATGACGAAACTTAGATCCCGTGATTCGATATTCCGGACTGCAGCTGTATGAATTTACGGTTGTTTGCTGTAATAGTGTTAGTTCTGCGCCATAAAAGGACGGATGATAGAATGAGCACACTCAGCTTGTGCATGGTTCACGTTGAGTTGTGAAAAGACTTCCTAATGTTCTCACATTAACGTGTCCGTGATTGTTTCACACTTAAGGGACAATATCAAGACATTGTCTATTAATAGACACCAGGGCCCCGTTCCACAAAACGATCGTAGCGCTAAGATGATCGTAACTCCCATACTTTAACATAGACTTACGACTGTCGTAGCGCTACGATCGCATTGAGGAACGGGGCCCAGGGTCCCGATCCACAAAGCGTTCGTAACGTTACGACCTGTCTTAACTCTGTAGTTTATCATTGGCTTACGAATGCCGTTGCGCTACGAACGTTTTGAGAATAAGGGCCCTGGGTCCCGATCCACAAAACGTTCGTAGCGCTACGAAATTCGTAAGCCTATGGTAAACTATAGAGTTACGACAGGTCGTAACGTTACGAACACTTTGTGGATCGGGACCCAGGCCTATGTATCCGGGGTTAACCTACACAAACCCCTGCATTTATTCCGTAGTCTCCGATGTTTTTTCTTATACGTGTTTTATCCTTTGTTTGCAGAATATCGGTAAAGAGACCATGTCCCTGTCCGGGGTTATGATAGTTGTGAGTATATTAATGATGATGATGATGATTATGACAATGAAGTAGCGTGTGCGTTATAATGAAAATAGATGTGATACTGCTATTGTTATCATCCAGGGCCTCCTTTCACGAAGCAACCTGTACTAAGGTTAACCTTAACTCCCAAATTGCACTAAGGTTAAGTGACTTACGATCATCTTAGTGCTTTGTGAAAGGAGGTACAGGTGTCATAGCTACGAATTGAAGCCAATAAAGTGGTGATGGGGTTCAAGAATGGAGATTAGTCATACAAATTATTGCAATTTAGTTATACATGTCTGGGCTACACATGCTTTTGGGCTTTAGAATATTCGGACAATGGCTGTCCTGAATCAATCGATACGGATTAGTGCCACAGTGTAACATTACCTGCATAGGTTTCATGTACGAAGGTGATACTTTAAATAGTATCCATATATACACCTCGAAAAACGTTAAGATCCTTAAATCAGTTAACAGAACTATATATGTTCAAGTTCAGCTTGTATATGACGAAACCTATGATAAAAATTATTGCAAGTGTACTTGGTGGAAAGTGTCTCCCAAACACACACCCTGTTGGGCACGTACAGAAGTCTGAAGTTTTGCACTTTGTGCACGTGCCACATGTCGGTATTTAATCTGCATGGGCAACAATGTTCAATAATCTTTCTGCCACTTTAGTACTATAGAAGTTGTATGCTTCTCTCGAGGGCAATACGGTCTGATGTAAAGCCTCTTTATAGCATTGCACCCGAGCCGGTAGACGAGGGATAACACTGCTACAAAGAGGCGTACATCAGACCGTATTACCCGAGGGAGAAGCCCGCAACGTAGTTATCCTACCGCCATGTTAAATGTACAAAATATCATTTTATTTTTACTTTGAAGATCGTTTTCCACTACATGACATGTAAGCAAAATGGCGTCTGCCTCTCGACTGGATTTTTAATATTAGGGAAGCATATGCTGACAAGCTTAAAACTGCTATAAAAATGGTTAATTTTGTTTAAGTTGAGTGTGCAAACGATTCAATGTATAAAATAGTTTTAATAACGCAGTGAATGTCGATAAAATAAATGTCAACATAGTGAACTCAAAACAGCTAATCGAACGGTTTTCGAACTCCGGGCACTGCATGCGTCATATTATGACGTCATATGATTGTTAGCGATACAGCTTCTCGGCGGAGAGCTTGGCGGTTACCGTGGCAGCTGGTAATATTTTTTCCAGTTGTCACCCTCCGGGTGACACGGAAACATGTTAAAGCGCCATTTACCAATGAAATTTGAGTATTTTACATGAAGGTAAGATAAACTGTCCTTTTTGTAGTCAAGACATGATCTTACAGGAAAACCTGGAGATTTACGAATGTACTGTGCATGCACGCTTTGATGTTAGCTGAAAGTCACCGGTGGTCGTTAACTTTTTTTCCAGGTGTATGTTCTGACCCTCACTATGATCACACGTACAGTAATTGACATCATCACATATACAGTATTGACCCTCGATATGATCACACGTACAGTATTGACATCATCACATATACAGTATTGACCCTCGATATGATCACACATACAGTATTGACATGATCACATATACAGTATTGACCCTCGATATGATCACACGTACAGTATTGACATGATCACATATACAGTATTGACCCTCGATATGATCACACGTACAGTATTGACATCATCATATATACAGTATTGACCCTCGATATGATCACACGTACAGTATTGACATGATCACATATACAGTATTGACCCTCGATATGATCACATATTCCTATTGACCCTAGATATGATCACATATACAGTATTGACCCTAGACATGATCACATATACAGTATTGACCCTAGACATGATCACATATACAGTATTGACCCTCGATGTGATCACACGTACAGTATTGACATCATCACATATACAGTATTGACCCTCGATATGATCACACGTACAGTATTGACATGATCACATCTACAGTATTGACACTCGATATGATCACACATACAGTATTGACATAATCACATATACAGTATTGACCCTCGATATGATCACACGTGACAGTATTGACATGATCACATATACAGTATTGACCCTAGATATCATCACACGTACAGTATTGACCCTAGACATGATCACATATACAGTATTGACCCTCGATATGATCACATATTCCTACTGACCCTAGACATGATCACATATATAGTATTTACACTAGACATGATCACACATACAGTATTGACCCTCGATATGATCACACGTACAGTATTGACATCATCACATATACAGTATTGACCCTCGATATGATCACACGTACAGTATTGACATGATCACATCTACCGTATTGACCCTCTGATATGATCACACATACAGTATTGACATAATCACATATACAGTATTGACCCTCGATATGATCACACGTACAGTATTGACATGATCACATATACAGTATTGAGCCTAGATATCATCACACGTACAGTATTGACATGATCACATATACAGTATTGACCCTTGATATGATCACACGTACAGTATTGACCCTCGATATGATCACATATACAGTATTGACATAATCACATATACAGCATTGACCCCGATCTGATCACGCATACAGTATTGACCTCTAGATATGATCACACGTACAGTATCGACCTTAGACATGATCACATATACAGTATTGACCCTAAACATGATCACATATACAGTATTGATCCTAGACATGATCACATATACAGTATTGACCCTAGACATGATCACATATATAGTATTTACCCTAGATATGATCATATATACAGTATCGACCCTAGACATGATCACATATACAGTATTGACCCTAGACATGATCACATATATAGTATTGACCCTAGACATGATCACATATACAGTATTGACCCTAGACATGATCACATATACAGTATCGACCCTAGACATGATCACATATATAGTATTTACCCTAGATATGATCACATATACAGTATTGACCCTAGACATGATCACATATATAGTATTGACCCTAGACATGATCACATATATAGTATTGACCCTAGACATGATCACATATACAGTATTGACCCTAGACATGATCACATATACAGTATTGACCCTAGACATGATCACATATACAGTATTGACCCTAGACATGATCACATATACAGTATTGACCCTAGACATGATCACATATACAGTATTGACCCTAGACATGATCACATATACAGTATTGACCCTAGACATGATCACATATACAGTATTGACCCTAGACATGATCACATATACAGTATTGACCCTAGACATGATCACATATACAGTATTGACCCTAGACATGATCACATATACAGTATTGACCCTAGACATGATCACATATACAGTATTGACCCCGGTATGATCACACGTACAGTATTGACACTAGACATGATCACATATACAGTATTGACCCTAGACATGATCACACGTACAGTATTGACCCTAGACATGATCACATATACAGTATTGACCCTAGACATGATCACATATACAGTATTGACCCTAGACATGATCACATATACAGTATTGACCCTAGACATGATCACATATACAGTATTGACCCTAGACATGATCACATATACAGTATTGACCCTAGACATGATCACATATACAGTATTGACCCTAGACATGATCACACGTACAGTATTGACACTAGACATGATCACATATACAGCACTGACCCCGGTATGATCACACGTACAGTATTGACACTAGACATGGTCACATATACAGCACTGACCCCGGTATGATCACACGTACAGTATTGACACTAGACATGATCACATATACAGTATTGACCCTAGACATGATCACACGTACAGTATTGACACTAGACATGATCACACGTACAGTATTGACCCTAGACATGATCACATATACAGTATTGACCCTAGACATGATCACATATACAGTATTGACCCTAGACATGATCACATATACAGTATTGACCCTAGACATGATCACATATACAGTATTGACCCTAGACATGATCACATATACAGTATTGACCCTAGACATGATCACATATACAGTATTGACCCTAGACATGATCACACGTACAGTATTGACACTAGACATGATCACATATACAGCACTGACCCCGGTATGATCACACGTACAGTATTGACACTAGACATGGTCACATATACAGCACTGACCCCGGTATGATCACACGTACAGTATTGACCCTAGACATGGTCACATATACAGCACTGACCCCGGTATGATCACACGTACAATATTGACACTAGACATGATCACATATACAGTATTGACCCTAGACATGATCGCATATACAGTATTGGCCTTATGATCTCATATACAGTATTGACACCGGTATAATCACATATACAGTATTGACCCTAGACATGATCACATATATACAGTATTGGCCTTATGATCACATATACAGTATTGACACCGGTATGATCACATATACAGTATTGACACCGGTATGATCACATATACAGTATTGACCCCCGATATGATCACATGTCCGGTGTTGACCCTCGATATGATCACATGAACTGTATGGTCCTTGTTGACAGCAATGGAATGACCCGCGAGTGTCCTGGGACCCGGCGACAGCAGCGGGGATAGAGCGGTTGGTTATCAACACCAAATACATCTGGAAGCCACAACTAGTCATTGAAAATGAGTATGTATTTGCCACACCAATAACGTGCTGAAATGTGATGCATAATTAGTGAGTGAGTTACGTAAATTACCTTATTACCCACGAGGTCAACGTATGGGTAGTTGCATACTACGAGTGTCGTATCGCGTTGACCTGTGTCGTAACGAATTGACCTGAGATTCTAACGATTTGATGGGATAACCGATGACCTCTCAATTAGGTCACAATCTGACGTAACTATTTTTTCATTCATAACAAACACGTGAATTCATTCATTCTACAACTTAAATGCATTGTGGGAATGTAAACATTGCGAACGTTGCCGTGTCTCTGTTTAATTGTGAGTCGAACTGAGACAGTATATCCGTCGAAAAACATAAATGCAATGTTTCCACCAGTGATGTTAGCCTAATGAAGCAACTGGAAACCAAGAAACGAGGTGCTACGGAGTAGTTTACTGTACGAGGCTGTACGAGGCGATGACAACTGACATGCATCGTGACGTCGGTTAAAAAATCAGTGACGTCATTACAGTGTGACGTCATGCAAATATTGTACTACAGTACAAACTCTTCCGCAACCTCTTTATGAAACCGGTTTCGGTTTGAAACCAAAAACATAACAAAAATACGCTATTTTGTCAATTTAATGCATGTAAGACGTGGGTAATAAATAAAATACCACACTCGGTCTCATTAAATACGAATTATACGAAACTCGTGACCTTCCTATGTTATCTGACCTCGCTTTCGCTCGGTCAGATACTATAGGAAGGACACTCGTTTCGTATAATTCGTATGTAATGAGACCTCGTGTAGTATTCTCTATTTCCCTGGACCTTAGACCAGAATGTCCCAATGAGAATGACAAGCTTGACTGAGGGACAGTCTGTTGATGTTCTGGGCATGAATGGAATATGTCTCTGTCCTTAGGACTAACGGCGCATGCCCCGTTAAAATGATTAAATTTGGCGGCTTCTTGTGTTTCATACAGTTCAACACTGACTAATATTGGATTGTATGTCTTGAAACTGTGACTGAAAAATTCCCCCTCCTCTCCACTCCCTTTCCCTACCCCGTTTATTACACAAGGCAGTGGTGCCACTTTAAACATCACTTCCCGCCATTTCTTATTTTAGGGAAACTTGCAATATCCTGTGAATATAATTGAAAAAAAATCTGAAGTTTCTGAAGAGAGAATGATCTCGAAATTTAAATACAATTAAATAACAAGAAATTCAACATAAAAAATAATGCTACGAAGGTGGTATCGGACTTTCGTACTCTCTTCAGACCCCTTTACGCCTTTTTACATCCCTGTGCACCCTTTCCGCGCACTGCTAAACCAGGAAAACAGGTACTCGAGTGTGGTTAGCTTCGTTTTGAACATGCATAAAACCTCCGTCACTGACGCCAATCCCTTCCTTCCCCAGCATAGAATCTGTGGGTGTCCTAGGAAGCGACGGTACGCCTCCCCGAGTGTTTTTCAACGGCGATGTTTTGTGGACTCCTCCCATGTCAACAACCTCTAGCTGCTCTGCAGACATAACGTACTACCCCTATGACAAACAGACATGCTCCCTGACGCTGGTTGGTTGGAGTTATACCACTGATGAAGTGGACCTCCTCACTGACCACAACCAACCAATCGACATGCAGTATTTCACTTCCAACGGGGAGTGGCAAATGTTAAGCACTGGATATCACTACGTTAACCTGACCCAAGGTCCGATGACCTTCAGGAAGTTGGTGTTCAATGTAACACTCCGTCGAAAATGGCAATTCTATGGCCTGAATATCATGCTTCCACTGGTCCTAAACTCCATCTTGATGATGGTGGTATTTGCCTTGCCGATAGAGTCTGGGGAGAAGATGGGCTACTGTCTGACTGTCCTACTGTCCTACATCGTCCTGCTCACAATGGTATCTGCCAACCTGCCGCCCATATCCAGCCAGACGTCCATCATACGTAAGTGAATTAAGGAAGTAGTTGTGCATGTCGTGGTTGACGTTCCACATATTTCGTCATCAGTAGTTACACCACAGTGAGAGGTAATTGTTTACGCCACAGTGAGTGGTAATTGTTTTACGCCACAGTGAGTGGTAATTGTTTTACGCCACTTTTAAGCAATATTCCAGCAAATGCACGGCGACGGACACCAGAATTGACTTCACGCAGTTTATCATCCAAAACTGTGTTCCTCAGGAGGTATTGCTTGTGTGAGATCAAACGATGTCTCCTAGGAGATATCATTTGACACTAAATTTTGTACAATGCCCTGACAATTCTATGACTTCATGAACTTGATGACGTCACAATGCTATGAGTGAGTTTAGTTTTACGCCGAACTCAGCAATATTCCAGGGCCTAGATTTTCGAAGCTCTCTTAGCGCTAAGATAGCCGTAAGTGCCATACATTAGCATTAATTTACGACTATCTTAGCGCTAAGAGAGCTTCGAAAATCTTGGCCCATCTGTATAGCGGCACAATGCTATGACATCGCTGTACTGCAAGTCTAATATGGCAGTACCTTGTTCAGAGATGTACATGTTTCATTGAAAACTAAAGAAGAGTGGTTTTTGATGATAAATATAATCTCACCCTCGTGTCTCCTGATATCAAGCACATGTATATCAACACTCGTTGATAAAAGTAAAAATATCCTGGGCAAGTCTCAGATATTTGTAACTTTACCAACTCGTGGTGATATATTTGATATCAAAAGACACTCGGGTGAGATTCTCTATGTATCAATGGGGGAATCGAACCCTTGTCCTCGGCGTGATGCGAGAACGTTTTCCCCACAGACTACTCGAACGGCCATTCTTCAAGTGTGGTTAGTAGTTGTACAGGGGATTTAGGAAGATCCGGGTTAGAATGCTTGACTTACGGGATCGGTTGGTCAGTCTCGCTGACTTGGTTGACATGTGTCATGGCATGACAATTGCGTAGATCGATGTCCATGATGTCAATCACTGGATTGTCTGGTCAATACTGCTGGGTGGGGCGTTAAGCAACATACTAACCAATCGTTAATTATTTTCATCCTACTATAGCTAGAAACTGATTTCGACGACAGTGTTAAGTTCTATTTTGTAAGAGTATATACTGAAGGTATACATATATACATTAGTAGATATAGGTATTCACTGTTACCTGTCTGTCCATTACAGAGGTCTACCTGTCCGTGGTCATGTGTGTCGGCACTGCGGGGACAATCAGCACCATCGTTGTCCTCCGTCTGTACCACAGGGATGAGGCCAAGCCAGTTCCGACGTGGCTGCAGAAGTTGACTGAATCCTTCCTATCTCCCATGGCGTGTCTCACCTGCGGTTCAAACAGAGTAGTCACGCCAGAAGGAATGAAGAGGAAAGGACCTAACCACGGTGACTTTAGTGCAAAAGAGATAGCACACATACTGGACAAGTTTCTGTTCCGTATTTTTGGAACTTTCATGTCTGTAATGACGATTGGGTTTGTCTTCGCCCTCATGACTCATTATCTGAGATGATGATATGTCGATCTCTTCACAGTAACACTTCGTGTGGATTCGAACTGCAATGTACCGATATGACAATAGTGAGCCACGCTGCATGCTGTACTGAGCCTGTAACAGTGGACACGCTGTTGTTGTCACAGCCGTCCACCCTCCACATACAGATCTCATTATCGTCACTCAACTTTGAGCACTACTCAGATGTCCACCTCGGTTTCACTTATTTGCATTTTTATGTTTATTACGACTGCATTCTTGTTTGTTCACCTAAATCAACTCAGTGTATGACCTTGCCTCTAGAAAACATGGAATAAATAAAATATCCGGGAGCAACAGAAACGTGTCCATTTTGTTTTTTGTCTGCTTCGCCTGCAACAGTTTCTGCGGTATTCAACCACTTGCGTATCTACGTAAAGCATGGCAAACATTGGATTTTCATCAATAATTTATATATATGGTTTAAAAATTCAGTCTTCACGGTGAATTGCGCCCATGATAATCAAAGATAGATGTGAAGAAAATTAGTTTTTCATTATCCGGGGATAGCGTTTCTGACTTTACTGGAAAGTGTTCAGTGGCTCCCCACCAGGTATCGTCCAGGACACGTGATATACATGCCATACCGTAGATACGACACTGGCCACTTGTCTTCACTTTAAATGCAATTCATTTGAATCTGAAGAACGTATCTTTTCACGAAATTGCACGAAATCATTCGTCACCACTCGTCCCTTTCCGTAACCGCTATTCGGCTTGTCCCGGAATAACACGAGTTGTGCATGAATGGGCACGAAATAACAAAATATATGTTCGCAAACCTTTGCTTCACGGAGATTAGTAAAAGTTGGACCAAAAACAGACATTGAGGACTGGTTCCATGTTACTTTGATGCTGATAAACTAGTTTGAAGGAGGATAGTAACTGAAAATATTTAACTGAGTTCGGGGAGGTTATAAAGAATTACCAAGTTTTTTCAAAGGAACATGAACCACATTAAGTCATGTATTCATTTTCATTCCTCGAAGCTGTCAGTCGGTTTTGCTTAACGACGTTTAACTGCAGCGTCATATCTACGACGTGACACTTCACTAACGAATGTGACTCCAATGCAACAAGACAGATAAAGTGAGTGAGTGTGATTCTACGCCGCTTTTAGCAATATTCCAGGCAACACCGGAAATAACACGGCGGGGTCTTCGGCGTGAACACGCTTTAACCACTAGGCTAAATGGGCTTCACAGGTGAGTAGGAAGCATGTAGATGTAGATGTAATACACGTGAGGAATCGAACCAGGGTCTTCGGCGTGACGAGCGAACGCTTTAACCACTAGGCTACCCTACCGCCCCGGACACATAAAGGGTAATGTATGGATGTCAACCTCTGTATTATGAGGAAAACGGCGTTCAAAGTATAGTTTTATCAGGTGAGTGGAAGCTAGGAAGCAGCGACCTATATATATATATGTAGATGTAGATGTAATAGACCAAGTGAGTGAGTTTAGTTTTACGCCGCACTTAGTAATATATATTCCAGCTATATGGTGGCGGTCTGTAAATAATCGAGTTTGAACCAGACAATACAGTGATCAACAGCATGAGCATCGATGTACGCAATTGGGAACCAATTGAAATGAAAGATCTGACATGTTTTTGAACATACGAACAAACGAGCTTGTCAGCTGTAAAACGCTACTAAACTCTTGTTAAACATACAGAATATGTGTTGTGGCAATGTCTCATAACAAAGATACCAGATTATGAAAGTTCAGGTATTGTGGTAATACACTAGAACCTTATTAATACAAACTCCTGACATTGCACAATGTGGGGTGTCAGCAATTTGGTACACATGTACTAGGGGGGTCAGCATTTTATTACATAAAAGTATGTTTAAAATTATGTTTAGGATTTATGGGATGGGGAGGGGGGATATTGATTTTGTACATGACATGCTTCGTGGCATCCTCGCTGATCTCCAGGGTATACGTTACGATCACTCTCCACTATAGTGAGATTATCGAGGATGGCTGAGGTGTGTGTGTGTGTGTGTGTGTGTGTGTCACTGATGTTGTACATAAATTTTAGGGGGGTCATTCACATTGTACATGCTTCCCCATAAAAATCATCACACACACGCCATTAATTATGAATGGTCCCTTATATTTGTGTGTAAAAGGGAGGCTACTCCCTCTGGTCTCACTTCACATCTCACGTCACCAGAGGAGAGAAACACTGTGTGTGATCATACCCACATTAGCCCTAGTAGCCTTAAAATACAACAACATAGCTACATAAGACAAAGATACATTTATTCTTTTTGTCATAAATGTACATAAAATAACATTTGAAAATCTCCACATGAATAAGTGCTTCATTTGAAGATAATACACATTATTTTAAACCAAAAAATAATTAAAACAATCAACAACTATTTGCATGGCACATCATCTAGGTCACAACATGGAAAATTCAAAATGGTGAAATAATGAAATACCATGAACAAAAACGTTAAAAACAATAAATCCAGCCCCTAACAACGATTCAGTGGATTCTTTCCAATAACACCACTTTTGTGGTCCCAGAAAAATGTCTGTAACAAAAAAAAATCCAATGAGTTCCCTGATCCAAATTATATTTCACAATTATTAGTTTCCACATTAATCCACTCACGTCCAAAACTACTTGTCAACAAACAACAGATAGACCTGGACATATTTCAGTTGTTATTTTAGAACAGACACAAGCAAAATGGAATGCTCACAAGGGTTACCAAAGGTTAACTCTTGCTAGAACTTGCTAGACATTCAGACTGACAGAAAGTGACAGATTCTTCCAACAGTGTGTCCAATCAGATACCACTGTATGTGCACTTTGTCCTGAGGGAGCTCAATAAGCTGAATATTTCATGGATAAAGGTGAAAGTCAAGTTGAAAGGTTGAGTGGCCGAATCATGTTATGTGTTTTCCTAGAAGAGAATGTAGCAGCCATAAAATGTCCGAGTCTCGAGTGAGTGAGTGAGCGAGTTGGGTTAAATGCCTCTTTTAGCAATATTCCAGCAATATCACGGTGGGGGACACCAGAAATGGCTTCACACATTGTACCCATGTGGGGAATCGAACCCGGGTTTTCTGCGTGACGAGCGAATGCTTTAACCACTAGGCTACCTCACCGCCCCTCCTAGTCTCGTGCTGGGATTCGAACCACGGACCTTCTGTTCTGTAGTCTGACCCATTGTCCACATGACCAAAGAGGTTAACCCCGTCAGCAAGCTTTCCCTAATCTTAGCAGATCAGGTATTCAAACCGCCACTTCAGCCTGATGAGCCAATGCTTTGAACAGTGACTGACTTGTATTTTAAAATGGAAACAGTATTTCAGTTATCACAGCCTGTGAATGCAAATAAAAGCCCAAAGTGGCTGCAAATATTATCACTTTAGAGAAAGCGATATGAATGAGTATGGAGCTGACAAAACAGACTCAAGATTGGTACAAAGCTGGATTGAAACCTGGATCCTGGCACATATAGGGGAAGCAACTTCAACTGAAATATCCATCATTTGCCACTTCACCACCTCCTCCACGGTCCCCATGCTGTACAAAAGCAGGATTAATAGTAGCTAAAGGATCTCATCTATAAAGACACCTCCTTGATAACGTTACACCGAAACAAACAGAAGAAACACTTCCTTCATGTGACTTACATAAACAGTTACACCCACAAACATACACCCACGGACGCACAAGCACCAACTCACGCACATATTTCATGAAATGACTTTAGTTATCACAGAATGCCCTTTTCTTATTTGGGCTAGTATTTTGTGATGAAAATTGAGTGACTAACAATAGTGATTATTGCCTGCTGAGAAGCGACCTTCTGACATTCCCATGTACAGGTAATATAATCTACAGATGTAACAGAAGTTCACTGATAGTGAATTTCCACCGCCATGTTATTGTGAACATCAGTGAGTAAAATAACAACTCAGTTGATCGACAGATTACTACAATATAAAGAACTTTCTGCAGCTGTAGTCACCTCACTGCTGACCAACCATGGTATTTTTGCTTGATAAATTATATAAACAGAGTGACAGAGTAGCTCACCATAATTTTATGCACATGAATGATGGGTGGTTACATAAAACAGTCTTAGTTGGCATTACAGTGAGTGAGTGAGTATGGTTTTATACCGCTTTTAGCAATATTCCAGCAATATCACTGCAGGGGACATCAGAAATGGGCTTCACACATCGTACCCATGTGGGCAACCAAACTCGGGTCTTTGGCATGACGAGCAAACGCTTTAACCACTAGGCTACCCCAGTTGGCATCACAGCCCCAGGAGCAAACTGAAGGGGACCGATGATGAGATTGTGACATGAGATGGTACTGCACATCCACAAAGTCGTACACAGAAATTGTTGATTAATACACCAAAAGGACTTTTTAAATATGGCTCTCCCTCGGTGTTTACTTCGAGGAAAGCTTTGTTCTGTTATCAAAGGTTCATATTAGGCAAACAAACAAACCATTTGATCAATTATTCAAGAAATCAATACCCTGGTCTACCGAACCAGTCAAAACAAGTAAAAGATGAGCCAGTTATGATGAGCTACGTCTCCAAATTAACTGTAAAATATAACATGTGTCCAATCTTATAGGCACCACCAACAACATCATGAGGCCAGTAAGTCAAACATACTCCTCATGTTATGGGTTTTCGGATGCATAAGTACATGCAGGTCTATTTATCAACTGAATTTTTGTTAAACCATATTACTGACTCATTAAAGACAAGTTTATCTTAAACACCAACCATCATTTCAGTATTTGCAATACAAGTGTGATGCAACACCCCTTGTTATAGTGACTACCGTCCAGAAATGTATGACAACCGAAAACATACATATATTTGCACATACCAATGTAAGAAAAATTCATGATGCACAAGTACGAGCACTGAAAGTTAGTTTGCATTAATGGCACCATCAGTTTTTACATCAAAGATGATGAATATGTATTAGTGGTGTTCCGATTACTTGAAATAATCGAAGATTGGTCGCAGTGACCAAAGGACCAAGCAATCAATCACAATTTCTCATAATCGAACATAAACGATTTTGGAACTACTGTTTTAGTCTTTGAAAAACTTGACAATGGAACATATCTTAGAAGTTGTCAGGGCCTGAAAATGTGTTTAATTCTTAGAAAACTCACTTCACTAACTGAAAAGCCATGACTGAATGTTTCTTTAAGACTCAAGGAAGTTTATGTTCATGATATATTAGTCATCACTTTAAAGTAGCAAGTTGCAATCATGTTATACATATCTGCAATAACAACCTCGATAGGACAATCTGAAAAATGACGCTAACCAATTTTTTTCGATGATTGTTCGTTGGTAATGAAGCAATCATCAATTGTGAGATTTCAATCAATTCCAAACACTAATATTTATGGAGCTAAAATAAGACATACATTGCACCACAAAAACAATTTCACATGAAGTTTTGTTCAGGTGAGCTAAAAGGGGACACAAAGTAATGCATATGTGTTGTTCAATGCATTGGAAAATAGTTCAAACTTGAGGGGTCCTGGGTCAATCATATATTTATATAAGTACTTTGATCAAAAGACAACAGTATCAAGAACTTTTATATTTAGGATTATGACAAGCGCAAACTGCAATTTATACTTTATTTTTCAACACAAAAAAATAGAACTTGCCTCTTCTATTGTGAATGAATATTCATGAGAATGCATCCATCTGATTTATTGCTTAAGGATGCAGAGTACAACTGCATTTGAATTGTGGGTTAACAGACTGACCAATGAGCTGCATGTATGGTGGTCATGTGGTGCTTGGACACTGCTAGAGTTGTGTCAGGCAGTGTCATACTGTACACACTGCAACACCAACAGAAAGGCCACCCAAGTGCATCTTGTACAATATACATAGGGAAACAAAACATGGTAACATCTACAGGATAATAATCCCACATATATATTGCATCTGACTATGAACTAAAAGTCAATATAGTTGACATGAACTTATCCAATCAAATCTGTTCAATGAATCTGAATAGAGTATTCATGTACACCTCCCAATATATTATATACACATCCATCTTGAAATAATAAAGTACTTTAGAATTCTGTAAAATGTATAAAGGTTTTGCAAAAACTTCGAAAACATGTTCTCAAATCAAATAATGTTCTATCTTCAACAGAAATCAACACTTCCCATATCTCAGGGGTCTCCAGTGGATGATGGATGATGATGATGATGATAAGTACAACAAAGCACTATAAACATGATAACAAGCAACAGACCCTGAATGATAAGCACATGGCCCCATGCCCCCTACTTCTGTGACACCCCCTGAAGTTAGGTGAGTGAGTTTAGTTTTACGCCGCTTTTAGCAATATTCCAGCAATATCATGGCGGGGGACACCAGAAATGGGCTTCACACATTGTGCCCATGTCGGGAATCGAACTCGGGTCTTCGGTGAGGCTAACGAACACTTTAACCACTAGGCTACCCCACCGCCCTGAAGTTAGGTTGAAGGTTATAGTTTGTTCTGAATACCACTCCAGGCTGATTCCAGATGAATCCACTACATCAATCTTGTCAGCATAGTCAGAAATTATTCTTTGAAATTAAACTATACTTATTTACATTCAGCTGAACATGAACCCTGTATTTGTTCCACATAGTTTTCAGTAAAATAAAAAAAATTGAAAATCATATTTTCTGCCAATTTGTATTGTCCCAGGTTATGGTGACCAGGGTGGTTAATTTCATCTGAGACGTACAGCAAAGGGCAAGACACATCAGAGGTGAGAAGTTGATTTTCACCAAATATGCATAAGACAGCTCACACTATAGTCGCCTCTTGCTGGGCAGGTAGTATATTGTGTACACATTTATAGATGGATCATTCCATGAAAGCCATATAGTCTCACATGATAAGCCATGTTCTCTGTCTGTTTTCAAGAATATATTTGACTTAATTATACCTGGGCAGGTCTTTAGTAGGGCTGCAACGATTCGAATCTGACACCTTAGTTTCGATTTTCGATAACCATTATCACTATTTCAATTCGATATTTGAATACCTATTTAAATTATTTCCACGCAGCCAGAACGTAATTTTGACTCCAACTCAAGCAGATTTAAGTGCTGGAATAAGGCGAAGCATGATTGGTTGACTACTGGCTAATCATCCGATGAGAATTGTTGTTAGTAGACATTGCCAAGTTGACAATGGATTTCAAGCTAAAAATGTCGACTCAGAGAGTTAAATGAAATCTGCTGTTTTTAATTGTATCAAGAATTGAATCGAAAATGATCGAATTGAAGGTCCAATATCGAAAATCGAATCGAATCGAGGTCTCAGTGAATGTGGTGATGACTGAAGAAATATTCCTGCCTACTCTATAACAGTCACGAACACAGGATACTATCATCAATATGAATTATCATCCCAGTTTGGATTTCATCTTGATTTTTTTCATCCAATTTAGATTTATGGCTTAAAAACAGTGAACATAATATTTTGTTGTCAAAGAATTCCTAAATGAATCAATATTCCCATTAAGTTTTTAAACTTTCAGATGTTTTAAAACTAGTTTTATTTAAATTAATAAGAAATGTAAGAGTAAAACTGTTGGGTAAGGGAAGGCATATCTAAAAATTCAACATTAAAACAAATAAATTAATAAGCACATAATCTAATAGTTATTAGTGCACAAACTAATTACACTATCATAACAAACAAGGTGATCATGATAAAATATAATAGAACAAAATTTCTTAGTTGAATACACAGTAATCAAACTTAATGAATTCCATAACATGATGAAAATATTCCATAAGCAAAGTTCGAATGGTTACCACACATGGCACATGTCCCAAGCACTACTGGAGAAAGCATCATACATTTGTTGGAACAGAAACAATAATTTACTGAAGTGAAGTTCTGCATGTCCCAACAGTTTCTGAATGTCAGACATGTGAGCAGGTTTGCAAGATGTGTATCCAACACGAAGCTTCAGGACAATCGTTTACACATGTGTTAATTTATCCCTGAATTTGTTGCCCTGCCTGGAACCCAGCAGCTTCTGTAGCAACCCAACAGATGCTCATCTCTCCTTTATCCTGCACTGTACCATGAATTCATGGAACAATATTACTGATTAGGGTTTAAGTCGCTGAGACAACAATCATGTATCTTTGGATGCTACTGCGCTAAGCATGTTCAGGTTACTAAGATCTTCCTCTTCTTCCTGATCATTGTCCTCAGGGTTACTATACGGAGATGCAGACCGACCATCAACTCCTGCCCCTCCGGACGGACCACTCTCAGATCCTTGTCTACTGACAGATGGCTGGAACAGTTCTTGGTCGCCCACATCTCTACTTGTTGATGGCTGATTCACATGAGCAAATCCATCTTGTGATGATTCAGCAGCTAGTCTCTGATCTGGAGCCGGTGACACAACATCAATAATGATGTTACTGTTATCAGATGACACTGACGGAGATGGTGAAGCTTGCCTCACAACAGTCTTCATTGCCACATTCTCATTTTCAGCAATGGTCTGAGAGCTTGTGATGAGGTTGCTTGACTGCAGATCAGAGATACGAACATTCGAGAGCTCGGTGTAAGTTGCCCCATCAGACTCCGACACCCGATATGGAGGGGGTAGATGAGGATGGTTAAAGGTGCTGGATGGGTTTACTCTTAGATCTTCAACATCTTCAACATAGTTCATCTGTACATAACTATACTGAGAGGACGTGCTGGGTTGAGAGTCTAGAGCTATCTGAGATTGCATGCTCATATCACAAGGTTTCTCCTGGACAGTTGAGGAGGAGAGGGGATTCGGGAAGGGGCCAGGTCCACGATACAAATTATCTATTGGATACATTGGAGGTGGATGTTTGGGAACATATCCATTCTGGAACAAAAACCCTGATGGTCTAAACACTGGAACAGGGTTTATCACTTGCCGAGGTACATTCTCTAGGTTGTCAGCACTTGGAATAGTGTGGGGAGTGGGCTTGAGGAAGGCTGCTCCCTGTGTGGCCAACGCTCCATTGGCATAGTTATGGTCTTTAGGGTGAGAACCAGCAAACTGAGAGGGACTGCGAGTCCGGCAGCTGCGACCACTGTCCGAGCTCCTGGGCTGTCCATCTTCAGATATGCCCCCGCTTTGGGCCAGGGAGAAATCTATTGCCTTGTCCTGACTATCAATCACGGATGTTCCTGATGAAAGACTCCTCTTCTTGGGATTTCGGGGTGAGGTCCTCCCAACTGGTGACTCTCTGCCTTGTACACCTGACCCAGAGGCTGAGCTACAAGAGGGGACAGCACTGGCGGAGGTGCATGTGGTGGCACTGGTCTGACTGGACCCAGCACCCCAAGACAGAGTGTTTCTGTCCATCGACTCTGGACAACCATCAGCTCCTGTTGGCAAGTTGTCCTCAGCAAGGAGATCATCCTCATCATCCACTGAAACACAGTGAAGAACCTTTATTGGCTACTGTTTAGGGCTGGGACGGGTCCAAATGTTCTACCTGGGTACCCCATCCCCTATGACCCTACCCGGATACCTGTTATGTTAATTCCTGACATCAAATTTGTAAGAAATGGCAAATATATTCTTCAGCTCGGAGGCTAAAATTTCAAGTTTTTCAATATCTTAATCATGTATCATATTCAAAACAGGTGACTGTAATAATGTCTAAATCTTCAAAGACAATACAACCTTTTAAATATGAAAGAATAACACATTACACTGTTTAATCTATTGGTCACATGATCATAATGGGTCCGGGTACTGAGACGGGTACCCGGGTCCAACTCATTACCCACCCGTCCCATCGCTACTATTGTTAATCATGTACAACCCCGTCATCTGGAACAGTTAGTCTGGAGCCATTGCCTAATATTTGCTGTTAACACAACAAACCAAACAAACAATATTATAGTTATTCCAGAAATTTCATAACATTGCCATAATTTGAAGCAAATTCTGCAAATATGACTAAATGAAATATGTTCCCAATATAATGGGATTTTGTCATTAGTTTTCACTGAAAAACTAGATATCAACATCGCTGCAGGCACTGTCACATATACAACAATCTAGTAATCAGATAATATCAACAGATACATACACCCACCAATCTGCTCCTCCTGCATATCAAAGTTAGCTGCATTGAGAATGTTATTGAGTGCATACTGCCGGAACCTTCGGACATGGCAATTTCTCATCACTACAGGTGATGTTCCACGTAGGATTGACTCTGCTGCCTGCAACAGACATACAATACAGCAACATTACATGGCAACCAGTGGTGGAAAGCAAGAGAAATAATGCATGCCTTTTGGGGCACAATGACAGACAACACGATAGGTTGCACACATCGACAGGTTTCACACAAGGACATATAACATGACAGGTTTCACACAAGGACACATGACAGGATAGGTTTCACACAAGGACACATGACATGATAGGTTTCACACAAGGACACATGACATGACAGGTTTCACACAAGGACACATAACACGATATGTTTCACACAAGGACACATGACACAATAGGTTTCACACAAGGACACATGACACGACAGGTTTCACACAAGGACACATAACATGGACAGGTTTCACACAAGGACACATGACACGACAGGTTTCACACAAGGACACATAACATGACAGGTTTCACACAAGGACACATGGCATGACAGGTTTCACACAAGGACACATAACATGACTGGTTTCACACAAGGACACATGACATGATAGGTTTTACACAAGGACACATGGCACAACAGGTTTCACACAAGGAGACATAACTCGATATGTTTCACACAAGTGCACATGACACAATAGGTATCACATGGCATGACAGGTTTCACACAAGGACACATAACATGACTGGTTTCACACAAGGACACATGACATGATAGGTTTTACACAAGGACACATGACACAACAGGTTTCACACAAGGACACATAACACGATAGGTTTCACACAAGGACACATAACATGACAGGTTTCACACAAGGACACATGACATGATAGGTTTCACACAAGGACACATGACACAATAGGTTTCACACAAGGGCACACGACACGATAGGTTTCACACAAGGACACAAGACAATAGGTTTCACACAAGGACAGGTTTCACACAATATGACAGGTTCCACACACAACATGATAGGTTTCACACATTGACACACGACATTTGACAGTTTTCACACAAGGACACACAACATGATAGGTTTCACACATCGACACACGACATTTGACAGTTTTCACACAAGGACACACAACATGATAGGTTTCACACATCGACACATGACATTTGACAGTTTTCACACAAGGACACACAACATGATAGGTCACACACATTAAAATGTGACACATTTGACAGTGTTCACACAAGGCACACACAACATAGGTCACATAGTGACACATGATAAGATACATCACACAGTGCAACAGGACAAGATAGGTTTAGTGACACAGGAGAAGATACATCACACAGTGCAACAGGACAAGATAGGTCACATAGTGACACATGATAAGATACATCAGATACATCACACAGTGCAACAGGACAAGATAGGTCACATAGTGACACAGGAGAAGATACATCACACAGTGCAACAGGACAAGATAGGTCACATAGTGACACATGATAAGATACATCACACAGTGCAACAGGACAAGATAGGTCACACTGTGACACAGGAGAAGATAGGTCACACAGTGCAACAGGACAAGATAGGTCACATAGTGACACATGATAAGATACATCACACAGTGCAACAGGACAAGATAGGTCACATAGTGACACAGGAGAAGATACATCACACAGTGCAACAGGACAAGATAGGTCACATAGTGACACAGGAGAAGATACATCACACAGTGCAACAGGACAAGATAGGTCACATAGTGACACATGATAAGATACATCACACAGTGCAACAGGACAAGATAGGTCACATAGTGACACATGATAAGATACATCACACAGTGCAACAGGACAAGATAGGTCACATAGTGACACAGGAGAAGATACATCACACAGTGCAACAGGACAAGATAGGTCACACTGTGACACATGATAAGATACATCACACAGTGCAACAGGACAAGATAGGTCACATAGTGACACATGATAAGATACATCACACAGTGCAACAGGACAAGATAGGTCACATAGTGACACAGGAGAAGATAGGTCACACATGATGACAGTCTGGTCCCAACTTCACAAAGGGATTGTGACTCTATGATTGTCATAACACTCATAGTTTAATGTAGAGTTACAACAGCCTTAGCACCCTGGGCTGTGTGAAATGGGGCCCTAATCATCAATTTGCTTGAAAACACATACAGTACTCAGGACACTTTCTGTACCACCCAATGGGGTGTTGATACCAAGTTCAGTTGTACATTTGGAAAGTACATTTGGTTGATGAAGGACTTTTGATGTGAAATAGTGAAATGAGTGATAACATCTGCAAATACTGACCATCAAAACATGGACTCCACTACTGGGTGGGTCTGTTTGCTCCAACACATGACATTCCTCCAGCTTCCATCTAGTCAGGTTCTGTCCAGTGTGGGAACTACGATACTTCATGTACTTCCTGGAGAAAACATAGGGTTCATCAGGTCAAAAACCTTACAGCATATATACCAAAGTTAAAAACACTGTCTACATAAATAGGTCCAAACTTCCTAAAACAATATATAGCACTATTGGCATTATTGGATCAAAATGTCTCATGTAGAAGGAAAATCTTTGACTGTTGAGATCCATAGGGGTGTGTCTCGCTTAAAAACAGCTTTAGAAAGACATACGTGTATAGAATGTGAGTATCATTGCCGATGATTTTGGAGGAAATGCCTGCTTACTGTCAAGGAAATTATATGTAGATGTTGCAATAAGTTTTTTAGATAGACCCGTGGAATGCTGCTGCCGATCACATCTAGCCCTACATAGGTGCTGTCAACATGGCTGGAATTAATAAACGAATTTAAAAGGTGAACTTTTGCTATAACTTTTGATATAATGATCTGATTGTGACCATTTATAGTTCATTTTGTAGGGAAATCATCTAGCTTTCGATCAGTAGGCCTCGATGGGACCTTACAATTATTTTACGTGGTGATTGAGGAGGGGGTGGTTTCGTCGTTACATCCCTTTCCTTTTATATAGTAATAGGGTTGCATCTATAATAATACACCTATATGTCTTTCTAAAGCTGTTTCTAAGCGAGACTAGCCCTTATGTTGGGATCAACTGGTCAAAAAACATCATACCATGTACAATGATGTGTGAGAAATATAATACACCATTGGGGTTAACAGGTCAGAATGTCCTACCAATTAAGTACCATGTGGAATGATTGAGTGAAAATATCCTTTCAGAGAAGCATTGCCCAAAGTGTACTAGGGGAGACAATAATAGAGTTAACTCCCTTTACCATTCTTATTTGGAATGATCCGGATGAATTTCCCCTTCCCTCAATCAGGCAGAAAGTTAAAATATATTACTGGGTGACTTCAGTGATCTTTGAATATACCTGTTTTCTACTTTTATGAAAACAGTATCAACCCATGTTTTATGGAAATCCCACCTCCAGTGGTCTGCTATTTCAATGGCGACATCTGGATGCTTGGTTGGTGCTGTGTTGACCACCCGGATTGTTCCATCTTGGACGTTGGCGGCCAAAAGCACCCAGTGATCGTCAGATGCTTGGTATGGCATCAGGATCCATGTGTATTCTGTCAGTACTTCCTGTAACCATAGCAACCATACATTTCATCTACCTTTCTATTTTCATTCAATAATATTTCTGCATATTAGGTTTAATTCATTTCTATTGTATTTATGATATTCATTATCATGATTAATAACTTTGACGCTGTGTGTATCATTATCATGATTTATAAAAAGTATGAACAATCAGTCAATGTGAGTGAGTGAGTATGGTTTTACACTGCTTTTAGCAATATTCCAGCAATATCATGGTGGGGGACACCAGAAATGGGCTTCAGATATTTTACCCATGTGGGGAATCGAACCCGGGTCTTCATCGTGACGAGCGGATGATTTAACCACTAGGCTACCCCACCGTCCCCATAACAATGTACTGTTCAACACTCAGTAAGATACTGACACTTTACAAAAAAAGTATGTTTATGAAGTGCCTTTGTTGCTTATTTGTAATCAGTGATAGACTCGCTCAGAATCACAGCAGACATGGTAGTAGGGGTGACTATTGATAGCGATGGTCTATTGTCACCAACTATTGCAATAGTTTTTTCTCCTTGGATCGTCTCATTTGAACTTATTGAAGTCAATTCCCAAATGAATGTATAGTTTATATGAAATAAAAAAATGTTGAAGTAGTTTCAGTCACTTTTACTAACTGATAAGAAACTTGAAACTCGGATCAAGTAAACAGTAAACAAACTCAATGAAGCTGCAAGTCTGCAGGTGCGGATGACTCCAAATCAACGTGAATGAATCTGGTACTTCCCATATTTTGTGCTGCGTATTTATCAACGGAAGTCAATTACTAAACTATCAAAAGTCACACATACTATCGATGCATAGTTTTTCGGGTTTTTTCTATCTACCATTCATTAATTGCTATCGGAGACTCAACAATTGCAATCCATCTATAGTTTGATGCATTGTTACAGCCCTACATGGTAGATCACCATAGCCTATGGTTACTTCGAGCAGAGGGTATCAGTCTGATTAAGTTTAAGGTTAAACTTGTAATTAACTTCCGTAGACCAGAGCCCCACACCGCAAAGTTGTCTCAGCAATAACATGATCATAACTCCCATACATTAATATAGCCTTAGGACAGCAATATTACCACTTTCTGGAATGACCCTACTGCCGATTTATAAAGTGAGTGAGTTTAGTTTTACGCCGCACTCAGCAATATTCCAGATATATGGCAGCGGTCTGTAAATAATCGAGTCTGCACCAGACAATCCAGTGATCAACAGCATGAGCATCGATCTACGCAATTGGGATACGATGACACATGTCAAACAAGCCTGATCACCCGATCCTATAAGTTGCCTCTTACGACAAGCATGGGTTACTGAAGATTAATTCTAACCCGGATCTTCACGGGTGCGATTCACAAAGTAGTCTGAATGATGGACAATAGTATCTAGCACATACTTAAGAGTGAGTGAGTTAAAATCTAAAGTCACATCAACAGTATTTCAGCCGTATTGTGACTATGAAAGTTGTACATTTAGAAACACAAACTAAAACAATATAATTACCCATCTGCAAATGGCCGTAAAAATCATTAGCATATCGCATTATAAATGTAAAACTAGTATGAAAATCTAAAACAGCTTAACTATGAAATACAATACAATATAAAACACGGGGGTATAGATCGCCAACAACTGAAGGTAGATCATCATACCAGGAACCATGGGGACTTACAGTACTTTGCTACCTGCATGGACCATAGCTGGATTTACATCATCCCTTTAGCTGTTGGCAATTTGGACAATTCTAGCTATGAAGTTAAATGAACATATATTCTATGAAAAAAATGTGGTGAGATTAAAAATTTAAATATACTTTGCAAGACATGGTCTTACATGCCTTCTCGGGGAGACAATAATTTTCAATACTTTAACCCCCTGAACACTTTAGCTCTAAGAGTGTTGCTTGGAAGGTGCCCTGGGTCCAGGCCCCGATTTCTCGAAATAAACTTAAGTCTGAGTTTTGACTTAAGTTGGAGTTTTGACATAAATTTAAGAAAACTCATTTTCTAGAATGAACTAAAATTGATATTAAACTCAAACATAGTAGACAGTTTCAGTTTGGTGAATAGAATACTTTAGTTGTTTGGGATTTTCATATTTTTAAAATGCAGCTCAAATTTCAAATTGTCAAACTCAGTTTGAAATTGAGTTACCTTATCCAGCATGCCTCTGTTGTATTCATCTCTCTGCCACAGTTGCTGCAAGGCCATGGGTAGAACATAGCAGTGGTGCGGGAGAAGAGTATTCCAGTGACTGGCCAACATCTGAGGTACGCCTTTATCACCTGGTAACCATGACAACAACTTACTTAACAAATGCTTAAATAATGAGATACAGATTCCTTTACACATTTGTCATCATCACAGTCACCATGATGAAACATGATGACAAAGGCAGCTTTACTATTGCTAGAAAGTATAGTGGGTCCACACCCCTTACTACGCAATATATTGGATTCAGAAACATCATTCTTCTGGATTCAGAATTTGCAAAGGGTGTTATGAATCTCATTGAAAGGGAAGGGGAGAGCGTTCCAAATTACAGCTTGTATTAAGCTCATGGGGAATTTTGGTTTTCTTCATAATAGTCCTTTGAAATTCCTAGCATGCCACTTGAAACATTATAACTGCTATATCAGGGCTCGATTTAAGAGATGTTAACCTACTTGCACCAGGTGCAACCTGAGATAAAAACCTAGTTGCACCAGCCAAATTCCAGTTGCAACGTAGTGTGCTAAAACGTCAGAGGTTTCGGTGCACATAAACATATTTCCGTGATGTTGTACCCATGAAACCATAGCAACACAGAGACACAGCTGGTTCCTGTTTACTCGAGCTGTCATAGCCAAGAGGTGTCTATAAATAGCAATATTTTGATGCCATAGCTATTCAAAGTTTAGAAGAAATATGAGCTGACATATTTATGCTAATAATGTTAGATTTGTTGTTAATATCAATTCTCGAAACTTTACTTGCACCTGGTGCAAGTCAGACTAATAACTAGGATGCACTTTGTAATACTGGGTTGCACCAGTGCAAGTATCAAAGCATTAAATCGAGCCCTGTATATCTATGTGGTGCATGGCTACAAGTCATTACAAACCTGAGCATCTATGACATCGTTTTTCTCCAGTGTCATGAGCTGTTCACCGGTCAGTGAGGTCCTTGCAACAACACACCGGACAGTTTCGTCCACCTCCACATCTGACCGTGTGTCACATTCCCCCATGTGAGATGGCCACGAGCTCAGTGTGGTCAAAAATACAGGTACAGGCACTTCTGTCCGGTAAGCCCCAACAACACACGCGCTTACCAAGTGATAGTAATTCTTCATATCACTCTCCGACATGGAATTCTTTCCAAGGATATTCATCAACCTTGACCTTGCAGCCACCATGTCCTCTCCCCAAGCCTGACAGATCTGATAAACCAATGTTACACATGGGTTGGTCCGGGCATTGAATGCACTGGGTTTCTGTTTCCAGATGGATGCCATCTGCATGACTTGTGCCACAATCAAAGCAAGCTGACCACTTGAAACAAGTTCTTGGATGAACTCCTCCAGCGAAGGTCTGGAATCTTCAGGATCAGTTCCCACTTCTCTTGTGTCCCTGTCCGGCTCCCACAATGCAGGCTCTCCCAGCATGTTCTCCAAGTTCCTGACATTCTGCACAAGTGTATGAAAACTGTTCTCTAAATCCTCCCTCAGTGTATGTCTCACTCCTGGCCTGCTTGTTCTGTCAGAAGGTATAGATGGGCTGGAGGCCCTACCTAATCTGTTTTGGTGGCCGTCAGGCTGTTGGACACTTGGATGCTGAAAACTTGACTGACCAGTGTCAGTAGCATCTCCAGGATCATCAGAAGGTGGATTGTCCCCCACACAAGGACCTGGATCAGCAGGAGAACTGTCAGTGAACTCCAGCCTCCGCTTTTTGGGCAGACGACCTGTTGGCTGGACATGGTGTACAGTTGGGGTTCCATGTGTTGCTATGTCCCCCATGGTAAACACAGAATCACTCTCCTGTCCTTCAACCCTCATTGCGAGTCTTTTCTTTGGAATTACAGACCTGGCATCAGGTTCAGTTTGTGCACTAATATACACATCACCTCCTCCACCACCTGTGTAACTGTTCATGTGAGCAAAGGATGTGGAGGGTTCATTAGGATTAAACAGGGGTGTAGTATTATCTACAGGCCTGCAAGAAAGTGTCACTTCAGATAAGAGACCCAATGGACTTGTCATGTGCATCATGTCCAGACATGCAAATGGAGCAGCGTCTCCTGCAATAGGAGTTGATGTGAATGGAAGCCCAGTGGAAGTGGAAGCTTCAGCAACATTACTGACATGTGACTGGCATCCACTACTGGATAGAAGTACCTGTGACTGAGGAACACCGGAATCTTCCTCTGCCAAATCAATCACCACCAACGGTTCACTGATGTCCACTGTCCCGGAGTAGTCCTCCTCCTCATCTTCATGGTCACCATCATCACCACTCATAATACCTTCATCTTGGTGATCCGAGGACTCATCACGGGGAGATAACTCTGATGTATCTACCTGAATTCCTGTAGATGAGCATGTTGTATGCTTCTTCAAGTTGCTTCTGGGCTTCCTGTGGCGAGGAACGGCCCGCGATATCGCCTCATCCCCTAGGTAGTGAATGACAACATAGTTGTTCGGATTATGATACAAGGTATACACATGCTTCATGAACTCCCGTGTCCATCTGCCATCTCCAACCATTGCACAGAAAAACACCTTCCTCACAATAGGATTTGTCTTGGGCTGACCTCTCGTCCCATCATGGTGGAAGTGGATGTTGTCATTCTTCCATGCCTCTGAAATTATGAAACAACTGAATTTTTATATATAATAAACAAGATGTTGATAAAGTGGGATTACATTGCTAGCTCAGTGTTTTTAAAAGTCTCCTGACCCCGAGGGGATCCAGGACAGTCTATTTGTGGCTTAACATCACACTCAGCAATATGATGGTGGCTTGTAAATCCAGTGACCAACAGCATGAGCATCGATCTACACAATTGGGTTACATGTAAATCCATAACACATCAAAATACTTGTATTTTTGCTTCTATGCAGAAATGTTCATGAACAAAGTAAAACTACAGACACGTACTAGGGGATCCTTTACTAAGGTTAATCTTAGCTCCCATTCTTTAATAATAACATTAAACTAAGGTTACTTTTGTGTCTTACGATCATCTTAGTGCTTCGTGAATGGAGGCCCTGGAATCCCAAACAGACAAGTCAATATTCCACGACCCAAAACCGAAACTGTGTGTAGTTCACTTGTAGGAGTTCAACTGACCACAAGTGGTATTGTGTTATTGTGTATCACGAAATATGGGTGGGGGGCGAGGTTTGTCATGAAATTTGTACATGATATGGGTGTGTGTTTGTCACCAACTTTGCTAATATAAATCGGGGAGGGGTGTTCATTCATATTGTACATGCTTCTCCATAAAAATCAGCATCACCCCTCCTCTAGCCATAAATTATGAACTGACCCTAAAGGAAGTAGATTAAACACCACAATTTGTTGTCTGTCCCTGAACAGTTCATATATCCAATCAATATGGTATTTTTGACACTTTGGGGCTCTTTTCGTTCAAGACAATGGAATCATAAAGGTGAAGAACAGGGCTTGCTGGATGATATAGATGGGGATTCCCCTCGAGCCACTTCCTCTTCAAGCCTAACGAGGAAGCAATTGGCAATGTTTACTTGAATACATTTCACATTTTTCTTCGAACTGCGGTGACGACTGGCGTGGGTATAGTTAAAAAGAATAACAATTCACGCATCCTTCTTTCTGTGTCGAGTCATTTGTGCATCAGGAGGTCGATAGATCTACATAAAAAATAATAATAAAGTCTGGTGTCGTATTCTGAAAGTAGCTCAACAATGCACCATGACGAATAATTCCGTCATGCGTATCAATTAGTTCAGTCGAAGTTCAACGGATTTCAATCACTTACCCCGAAGTGTGTTGTTTTCAATACAATAAACAAAGACATCCCCTCCACGGGGTGCAATCGGGGCTCGTCTGATGACCTTTGACATGTCGGGGCCTCTCAAAATAGAAGCGACGAATGTCGCTTTTAGAGGCATTCGTTTTCCTGATATGTATGGCGTTGTCATCGTGAATTGTGCTTCTGGCGTCCTTTTGACCAGTTATTCAGATGTTGTTGTATCACAGAGTTTCTAATGATCCATACAAAACCAGCGTCGCCCACCACACTTCCTCAGTTTGGGAGGAATATTGCCGCATACCAAAACATTGGGGCCACCTCAGCTGTCAGCTAAAGCCGGATCTTCTCAACTTGCCGGTAGGGGGCTCCAGTTGTTCGTATTAATCCGTGTCCCTTCGTCGGTGCGCGTTCGGCTGATTCCGGAACAAACGAGTAGTAACGGAGATTGTTTAACCTCGGATAATATCGGATCGAATATGCATGGGAGACAACTCTTGACTTCTAGTACTTGTATCAAGCACAAGTAACATATTTCAAGATCGATTTGAGCAAAGACTTTCTGTTCTCTCTCTCAAAGGATCCTCACATATTTCAATCAAATTCAGTCATAAAATATTGTGAGCCAGTGTGGATATAACTCATATCACCAGTCGCATATAACCCCTTTATACTTATGTCAGGATTCCGGGGATACTGATCCAACTGTACGTACATATTAACCGGTAATAGCAATCAAGTATTCCAAGGTGATATTATGTTGTATATATATAGTAAAATCTGCACCGAATATAAGACGATATTGGAATATATCATTTCTGATATAGTAGATTTCATTGGGGCACCACAATTCTTTTTAGGTTTATTTTTTCAGAGTTTTATTACCGAATCACGTGTTTATTTGTGCAGAGACCATATATCGGTATATGGTCTCTGATTTGTGGCAAATGTTCGTACAGCTAATTGCTAGTTACCAGCTTAATTCACGAGAACATACACTCAGTAATCTCCATATCTAATCATGTATAACCATTAATTGTCACGGGTTTATTCCCCTTTCATCATAAAGCATGTGCTCTTTTATCAGCGAAAAAGCCCTGTACACATCAATTTCCATGAACTGATCTAACATCACAGAAACTTTGTGATTACGAAATTGATGTAACGGAAAATTCATTCATTGTCACAGGTAATTCCCAAACACAAAATGGAGTTGACGGTGTATGATTCGTCCACTCTGGTCAATGAATCGGATTTGGATGTGTCTTTGAACGTATCTGAAACATTACCGCCACTGAAACATTATGATGGCCCACAAGGAACCCCGATATGAACCCCATCAAACATTATGATGGCCCGCAAGGAACCCCGATATGATCCCCATCCAACATTATGATGGCCCGCAAGGAACCCCGATATGAACCCCATCAAACATTATGATGGCCCGCAAGGAGCCCCTATATGATCCCCATCCAACATTATGATGGCCCGCAAGGAACCCCGATATGATCCCCATCCAACATTATGATGGCCCGCAAGGAACCCCGATATGATCCCCATCAAACATTATGGGGACTGTCTTGGATGCCAAGTTCAAGTTAGAGTGAGTGAGTGAGTGAGTATGGTTTTACGCCGCTTTTAAGCAATATTCCAGCAATATCACGGCGGGGGACACCAGAAATGAGCTTCACACATTGTACCCATGTGGGGAATCTAACCCGGGTCTTCGGCGTGACGAACGAACGCTTTAACCACTAGGCTACCCCTAGCCCCAGTTCAAGTTAGAGATCCTCCTGTTCCAAATCTGCAGGAATTGACGCAGTCATTCTATGAGGAATGGCAGAGGAATCCGATGCTGAGAATTCGAAGCTTGATTGGCAGTATGAGGAGACTGGTGGATGTTATCGCTATGGGGGTGGAGACACCCGGTGTTGACTTGATCGCCAGGGTGGTTTATACAATCACAACAATTTATATTTGTGGAACTATGTGACACTCAAATTGGTGCCATCAGAGTTACCATTTTAATATGCGCAATTTGGTTTTCAAAGCATACTCTACAACATGCAATGTTTTCGTATGTACCAAAAAGTGGGTGATACGTGATTAATGTTCGTATTGTGTTTGTATGTACGGTGTCCTAAGTCCTCACATCGACGGTTTTGTGCTTTTAGCATTAAAGTGTTGTTTTCAGCTAGTGTTGTCATAATGCCATACGTTTTCTATGAAATCAGGGTGCATGGTCTAAGTTTTAGAAAAATATTGATTTACGGCAATTTTGATAGTGATCCGTCTGTTTTGTTGGCTCTTGTTCTGTATGCGTCAACAATAGCGAACATCAAGCCAAACGCAATGTACAGAAACACGCTGAATTGACGACACTTGTCATTGGCTATGAATAAAATATGCCAGTAAGAGAGATCGGATTTGGACATAAATATAATATCACAACGAGGACACGGGCAATTTTCAGGGAGTGGTAGATCAAGGCCAAGGTCATCAATGGCGAACGCACTCGGCAATGAGATGAATACTGACTGACTGAGTTGAGTTTGGTTTTACGCCGCTTTTAGCAATATTCCAGCAACATCACGGCGGGGGACACCAGAAATGGGCTTCACACATTGTACCCATGTGGGGATTCGAACCCGGGTCTTCGGCGTGACGAGCCAACGCTTTAACCACTAGGCTACCCCACCGCCCCAATGAGATGAATAAATGTTGGTTAACTCATCATAGACATTTCCAAATCCGATGCATTGAACCAGATTGGACGAATCATACCCCGCCAGATCCATTTTGTGATCGAGTGAGTGAGTTAAGATTTAACGTCACATTGACAGTATTTCAGCCATACCGTGACCATTTTGTGATTGGGAATTATCTGTGACAATGAATGAATTTTCCGTTACATCAATTTCGTAATCACAAAGTTTCTGTGACATTAGACCAATTCATGGAAATTGATATGTACGGGTTTTTTCGCAGGCCATTTATCGTACCTTACCATTCCCTTGTTGATGTTAAAATCACGAAGACTCTGTGACATATCGCAAAGTTTCCGTAGAAACAAATCACAAAAACTCCACTCTCACTGTAACCAAGTTCCCCACAACTCAAGTTCCCTTGATTCAGCGTCAAATGCTGTCAGATCTTCTGGCAAGGTGACATGGCGACACCCTGGAGACCTGGAGACCTGGAAGAATACACGCCCAGGAACATTCGTTCCGTTTAGCGGAGGATCAGTCAAGGCTGGTTACTATGCACGGGAATCTGAGTTAGAGACACCAACGTCATATGCTGGATCTAACTGTTCTACCACGTTGCAATAATCACCACATTGGCAGCCAGCTCGGACGACAACGCGTGACGCATGGTTCTATCACTAGAACGTCATCGCAGTCACCCCAGGGACCACCAAGAGTCCACTTCTGCTAATTCGTCAATGAGTGAGTGAGTTGGGGTTTACGCCGCTTTTAGCAGTATTCCATCAATATCACGGCGGGGGACACCAGAAAATGGGCTTCACACATTGTACCCATGTGGAATCGAACCCGGGTCTTCGGCGTGACGAGCGAACGCTTTAACCACTGAGCTACCCCACCGCCCCGATACATCAATGAATTCCTGTGGTACAAACTAAGAAGCGCGACCAGTCAGAAGCTACTTTACAGGAACCGAATGTATGAAGCCCTTATTCTGGTGTCCCCAACAATGAAATTGCATGAATATTGAAGTGGCGTAAAACTATACTTGCCATTTTGAAAATGGTCAAATGTAACATATGTTATATCTGGGATTACACTTTCTCAGTAAAGTACAGATTCTAGTACTTTTCTGTAAATGTCACTGTGTATGCATAACTTTCGGCCGTGGGAGCCGTTCCAATTTACACTTATCAGAAGTGTACACAAAGTCCTCAGTGGAGACCACCAGTTGTCCGACTTCCATTTGTGTGGAAGCCGCGGTGGCTGAATACGTTAGACGGTTGACTTTGTGTGCTGGCGATTAGGTGCCTGACTCTGAGGGTGCGAGTTCGAATCCCGTATGGGACTCAGTCCAACAAAAGGACAAGACTCTGTACTTTACTGAGAAAGTGTAATCCCAAACAACATGTGTTTCACTCAAAACAAGCAAATTATTTTTTAGTCACCACTCAAAGCAAGCACAATAGTCACAACGCATATCAAACACTTTAGACGCCGTTCAAAACGAACACATATTGCCCGGGACAACTCCAATCCCAACAGGTTTGCATGTTAAATGATATCTGATACATACAAAGTTTGATATTTATATATTGAATGGGTTTTGAGTTTTACTCCAGGAAAGGAAATTTCAAGAATATCCTGATTACCAAAATTTAGCATTCGTCTGATGTCCAAACAACTGAGACACACGGTGGCTGTCGGAAGCCATTCCAACACCTGAAGATGGCCACATATAGTGTGGGGAACATGTTATTCCTGAAAGTACTGTCTTTGGGTTTCCAAACAAAGATTTTCTATAAACGAATGTATCGTGGGTCTACCTTGTACATCTGCGAAATGGGCAAACCCGAGCACTTCTGTTCTTTCATATAGCACGTAGCTCTGAGTGAGCGAGTGAATGAGTTTAGTTTTACCCCGCGCTCAGCAATATTCCAGCCATATGGCGCTGGTCGGTATATAATCGAGTCTGGACCAGACAACCCAGTGATCAGCAGCATCGATCTACGCAATTGGGATACGATGACATGTGTCAACCATGTCGGCGAGCCTGACCACCCGATCCCGTTTGTCGCCTCTTACGACAAGCATGGATTACTGAAGATCAATTCTAACCCGGATCTTCACGGGTCCCTGTATCTGAGGAAAATACCCATATATGACGATGATTTCAGTGTGATACATGATGACATGTCAGTTCAAGAACATGGTGATTAGCAGATTGTTCACCAGTACAATGCCAAATCTCGTGATGCAGAGGTGAGGTGAGGTGAGGTGAAGTGAGGTGAAATTGGGTTTTACGTCGTGCTTGAGAATATTTCGCTCATATGACGACGTGCATGCGTGTGTATGTGTATGTGCGGCTGCTTGTACTAGCCCAGACTGAAGCTGGTTTTATAGTGCTAGCCCACTGAGATACCATGTCGCAGTGAAGCATGAATACCCTACTCAGACATAGTATACTGACTCCAAGCCGACCAGTCCTTGTTGTACCCATTAATGCAGAGTGCCAGGCAGGGACCAACAAGTACCATATTTTAACGTCTTTTGGTTTGATGTGGTCGGGGATCGAACCCGCTACCTTCCGCTCTCCGGGCGGACGCTCTAACCACTACACCACGGAGGCGGTCGCACATCTTAAAACTGCATTGAGTGTAAATGATAAGCATCTGATCATATAACCTTTTAAATGAACACTGTTGGCTATTTGTCTCGAATATGTCATGCTTCGAACACATTTCGTGCAAGGCAACTGCTAAGCAACGCTTCTTTGGCAGTTTGAAGACTTTTTCTGGTTCAAATGTAAAAAAATTCATTCACAAAATTACCAAAGGAAAAAAACATGTCAAAACATCTTTTGCCTGATGCCATGAGTCCATTATGTCTTTTTCTGCAACATGTTTGCACTACGGTTAAAGAATAAACTCTCAATTTAATAACATGAGTGAGTGAGTTTAGTTTTAGGCCGCTTTTAGCAATATTCCGACAATAGCATGGCGGGGGACACCAGAAATGGGCTTCACACATTGTACCAATGTGGGGAATCGAACCCGAGTCATCGGCGTGACGAGCGAACGCTTTCACCACTAGGCTACCCCATCGGTCCCATAGTCGATATGATTGTTATCAGTGACCGTCCGTTATTCATTCACAAAATTACCAAAGAAAATACCCATGTCAAAACAACTTTTGCCTGATGCCATGAGTCCATTATGTCCTTTTCTGTCACATGTTTGAACTACGTTAAAGAATAAACCCTCAATGTAATAACATGACAATCGAAAGTCAGGCGCTAACTGTTCCATACCAAATAAGGGCGTTAGGAGTTAACAATCATGTTTTGAAGTCACTTTAATGCAAGGGGACCTGACGGTACATCACAACAAACAACAACGTTTGAATCGTGTTTCATTCATTTACTCGGTAATCCTGTAATCACCATCCATGTTCAAAATGCATTGTTCACACATGTAGTGTAAACTGATCGGACAAGTTCGCAGACCATTATCCCCACCCTGGACTTCATGAGGCTCGCCGTTTGAATGACCGGAGTGACGTCATCACATCTGTCTCTATGAGGAAGTGACCACTTTCCCCATGGTTCAATCTCTCCGTGTGATTTTGCCATGTAAAACAGAAAATACAAGATTTGACTTCTACGGATACAAGATGTGTTCAGACAGATCAAATATTATATTTAACAAATAAATAGATACAGCTTATGGCAACTTTATTATGAATGTCCACATAATTAAAAGTTTTCCCTTGCAACTGTCTGCAGGTAGTAATTCCGCTTTATGACTCTTAACTGTAACTAACAGCATAAAGAAACCGTTTTGTATTCCAATATGACTGTAACCGTGTCCACTTTATACATCGAACTTGTATTGTGATTTATACTACAACAAAATATCCTATATACCTTTCAAATTAGTCCAAGTAAAATAGAAAAAAAGCACAGCTTTTATCTTTACAAGCAATTTCAGAGAGTAAAACGAAGTGCTATTATTAAAGCGCACGCAAACACACGTACGAGCAAGGTAAGAAAGTAAAACAAAGTGCTATTATTAAAGCGCATTAAAACACACGTTCGAGCAAGGTGAGAAAATAAAACGAAGTGCTATTATTAAATGGCACTCAAACACGTTCGAGCAAGGTGTGAAAGTAAAACGAAGTGCAATTATTAATGCGCACTCAAACACGTTCGAGCAAAGTGAGAAAGTAAAACGAAGGGCTAGTATTAAAGCGCACTCAAACACGTTCGAGCAAGGTGAGAAAGTAAAACGAAGTGCTATTATTAATGCGCACTCAAACGCGTTCGAGCAAGGTGAGAAAGTAAAACGAAGTGCTATTATTAAAGCGCACTCAAACACGTTCGAGCAAGGTGAGAAAGTAAAACGAAGTGCTATTATTAAAGCGCACTCAAACACGTTCGAGCAAGGTGAGAAAATAAAACGAAATGCTAGTATTAAAGCGCACTCAAACACGTTCGAGCAAGGTGAGAAAGTAAAACGAAGTGCTAGTATTAAAGCGCACTCAAACACGTTCGAGCAAGGTGATAAAGGAAAACGAAGTGCTGGAATCAAAGCGCACGCAAAAACGTTCGAGCAAGGTAAGAAAGTAAAACGAAGTACTGGTATGAAAGCGCACGCAAACACACGCAGACACAAACGCTCATGGACTTCACTTCACAAACCAAGACATCAACAAAACATCAACACACACAAGATGTCAGGCACTCATCTGTTGTATATTCTATTCCAGATTGGTATTTTATAATTCAAGGTAAACGCATTGCAGTTGAAGACATGTAATTCGACAGGCTAACCAAGCACTTTATTTAGTGATCATGTTTCCATAACCCTGAGAAACAAACCACGCCCACAAATAGACTATCGTTCACTGACTGGCTGAGAGTAGAGTGGGCGGTGTTTGCCTTAAATTAGAGCGCTTTTCGACGTTTATGCTAATGAAAATATTATTGATAATTTGCATGAGAATATAATATATCATGCGTTAATGGATAGATTTACTTAAAAACCTGTGCGCACATTTTATGCAGATCCGCTAGATGGATTCACAAGTCGTGCACATACGCCAAAACACTGACGTCATTTGTTCAAAAAACAGGAAAGTGTTTGAATTTTGCGTTATCAACTAATTTCCATTGGATGCACTGCCAGTACTCACAGTCACATTCACAGCTTCTGTTTGAGGACGTCCTTGACCCTATCGTGACCTTGCATAACGCCACCCCCGTCTCTGTACAGTAACATTTCCAGGTAGCAAGGTCATCAATGCTGACGTCACACTGTGAGGCGGCAAAGCTACCGTCAGACGTGCACGTGCGCACCGGCAGATACGACAGGTTCATCTCGTGAAGCACGGACTTCAGGCGCGAGATATCAGTGAGGGTGCGTAAAAGAGAAATGGAATTGTCTGTAAAGTCGGAATCGTTGATGAGCTTGACAGTCGTGCTGAAAAGTTGTTTTTGTCTTTGGCATAGTGTCAGGGTTTCTGGAACAAATTAGATTATAACATTACGCACAATAAATGATAAAAATATAACAATATGCAAATATGTAAGTGTTCACTTAACGTGTAACCTGCATGGCCCGGTCATGGAACTTCACGACACCGGTGACAAACAACCTACACTCGGTCCGGTTTAGTAAAGTCACATTTGGCGCTCGCGCAATTTGGAACCAGGACTGGTTCTGGAATATATACGCTTGTCACCGGAAATCTGATACCGGAAGTAAGATGGACCCCGTCTCGCATATTGCAAGTTGATGCGCACAAAGGGAGCCGGGAACCAGCTTGGGTATCATAATTGGGTATTATTGACTGTTGTTTATTGATCATTTATTCTGAGAACACAGAAACGTAAACGTCTTCTTTATGTCTGAATCAGACAAAACATCCCACGAGACCTAACCGTCCTTACAACGTAACACAACTACACTGTAAAAAAATATAGGTTAGCTAGCTATTGATCTAATTCTACATTAACCACAGAAATTGCAGCTTTCTCTCGCGTGGCATCACACGCCGTAAACAATCTGTTTAGTTCACATATTCAAAAAGACAACCGATCATTACAGATCATAGCATGTTTCTTTCCGCGACTTCCAGTATTTGTATGTCTTTGTGAGCAGTACAACTCTCCAGGAAAACAATGGCTATAACATGAATGTGTCATCAGACACTTATTCTGGTATTGTAAACATGTCAACTCTTTATAGACTCATATTCAAAATGGATAAACAATGTTGCAGAAATTTGAATAGCTTTCAATAAAGAAAGTGATATTTGGGGGGTTTCCCGTTAAAAACAATGACCCTTTAAATGCTATAATTCTGGTTATAAAATACCTTATTTTTGAATCGTATTCCAAACAAAGATTTTTGAGTCTTGAGGTTGTCCAGCAAGAGTTGACAAACTACTATAATATTACTAAAGCAATAGCGTTTTCAACTTGTGATTAAAATAAATTTGTTTTAAATTTGATTAAAATAAATAGTTTTGGTCCAGCTCATGTCACCGTTTATTTGCTGACACTGCTTGTGAATGACGTAACCATTCACTTTTTTATGCCAAATCAACTTGTCATATACATTGTTTAACCGCAATTGTATCTCACGTTTATTTTGTAATCATTATTGATCTGTAATGAAGTCTATGTATGATATGCTGTACGAAAAAAGTGGAATAAAAACAAAATCGAAAATAAAAAAATCTCCAGGACAACAATAGCTATAACATGAATGTGACATTCATAATCCAAGCTAGCATTCAACGTTGGTTCTCTAATGACATTTACCTTGTCAACGTTGTGATGGTTGCACCTTTGCAGTTCAGAGAAAAATCATATTTTGAATATCATAGTCAAACCCATTCTCTTCCCACAGAGGTTACTTTTCATATCTTCCTACGAACCTCTGTTCTAATACAAACTCTCATGGTGCGAGTGTTCAGGAGTCGTGATTGGTTGCAATCAGATTTATTTGTGCAATCAGCGACGTTGTTTCAAATGTGATCAATCGCAAGGCCTCGGTAATTTCCGTATGCTTCGGGAAAACTAGAACCTCTTCTCCTGCGCGATGCGCAAACGTTTCTTCTAAACAGAACTCAGTCGTGTAATGGCGGATCAATGGCGTCTCCATCGCCCTCGTTGACAACGGACAAGCTAGCCATTAAATGTCTTGTGTGTCACATTAACATATGTCCCCGGCAGAGGAGGGATATTTGTGGCCCCATATTTACTTGCATTAGTCCAGTTAGATCTAAGTCGATGTAACACGCGTTCTGATTGGATAGAAAGAAGGGAGATAATTTGTGTTGCGATTTTGTGCCGCTAGGGGATTTTACGAGAACCGGGAAATATGGCCGTATTAGAACAGAGGTTCGTAGGAAGATATGATAAGTAACCTCTGTGGCAAGAGAATGAGTCAAACCATGGTTCCTCCAAAGAGCACATTGACGAAGCAACACGCATACTGTGTCTACGTGTGTTAACGCAGGCAAACCTACTGAACCCTCTCAGACATGACAACGCAGTGTTAACGCAGGCAAACCTACTGAACCCTCTCAGATATGACAACGCAGTGTTAACGCAGGCAAACCTACTGAACCCTCTCAGACATGGCAACGCAGTGTTCACGCAGGCAAACCTACTGAACCCTCTGAACCCTCAGACATGACAACGCAGTGTTAACGCAGGCAAACCTACTGAACCCTCTCAGACATGACAGCAGTGTTAACGCAGGACAGCACACTTACTGTGTGTTAACGCAGGCAAACCTACTAACAGTCTCAGACAGGACATCACACTTACTGTTCTCGCCTTGAGTAGGCAGGTTACAAAGAGGGCCCCAGTGGGTATCTGGACATTGACACAGCTCCCCGTTGGCGATTTTACCAATACAAACACCAGAACTTGTGAACACCCCACACAAGTTGAAATTGTTAAGTGCTCTGTACAATGTTGTACAAACTGACTCTGAAATAACGATTGAATGTATTATCATATTCACAACATGACAAGTAGCAAATGGATGTAAGTTTACGGAACAATTGACAAGCGTAACTCAATCTTCAGATTAGATTCTGCTAAGTAACAATGAGGTCAAATTCAAACTAATATTATAAATTGTTTACTGGTCACGAGGGCTCAGGGAACATAAACATAGAAGGTACATCAACACATGGGCTCCCAGGGACCAGTGAACAACGTATTTATCTTACTGAATGTTCATTTTGAACTGTTTGAAGCACTGGTATAAGCACTCATAATAAGGACTACCAGAGTTAGGTAATTGGCCAATACCAACTGACAAGAAAAACATATTTAGAGTTATATCCCTTCCATCGATTTGCATTCGCAAAACATCGGTAATTTCCGTACATCATATACGTTACTCAATTATTCGAGATAAAGAATTACTAACACGAAGTACCAAATGAATTCACACAGTTCGGCATTCCCAGCGGGTTACATAAAAAATGTTGCTCGCTTGTAAGCGGGGTTCATTGAAAATAATCGAAGAGCACTCAGCCAATCAGAAAACAACATTTATGTGTGACTAAACGTCATGTGAACTAAACTTAGGCTCAGTATTATTCATTACATTGATATACTAAGTCTAACAAACCCTAGTAGAAGGTCGCGTCAGCTAACCTTTGAGACGGCCGAACGGATTTCACCAATCAGACAACAGCTACTATTTTGGGTCCGGCGGGACTTAAAAAATGTTTTTAGATTTTCTCTTCCTCAGTCGCTGACACTGATCTCTCAACAAACGAAAATCCGCATAAGACACAGATATTCGCCCTGCAGTATTTTCGCTTAGGGGTTTCTGATGACATGGTTACCATTAGCTTATATTATGGCAAGATGACATCCTTGAATATTGACAAAAACGCTCTTTTCAGCGGCTGTTTACTCGCTGTTGTAAATAATCGCGTCCTGCATGTGTATCACTCGGAAGCGATCGCGCGGAAAACAGCAATCGGAATCGTTCGTATACAAACGTTTTCGAGGTAAAAGTTCAAACGGTATGTGCAAATGTTAACTTTCGCGATTTGGTGAGCTGGTCAATTAAAAAAGTTAGGGACCGTTCATAATTTACGGTTGTGTTGTGGGTGGGGCACCCACTTTGTTCTGGGGAGGTAGGGGGTTCAGCAATTTCGTACACATGTTTTAAGGGGGTTCAGCAATTTTGTACATAAATATATTTTAAAAATATGCTTAAAATATATTGGAAGGGGGAGGGAGGGTTTAATTGATTATGTACATGACATGCAAGGGGAAATTGCTTATGTACATGACATGCAGGGGGGCATTCACATTGTACAAATCGTCATCAATTTCCAACAACCCCAACAACCCAAACACACACACACACACACACACACACACACACACACACACACACACACACACACACCCCACCCCACACCCACACACACACCACCCCCTGGCGATAAATTATGAACGGTCCCTTAGGTGACGCGACCTTCTACAAGGGTTGTTAGACTCAGTATAGCAGTGTAACCATAATACTGAGCCTAAGTTAACTTAGACTGCATGTGAACTTGGTCAGCTGTGAAGGCCTTACTTTCACAGTTCTTCCCAAAGTAGCCATCAATACAGGTGCATGTATAGTTAGTGGTCCCATGTCCCCCACACACGCCGCTGTTCTCACACGGTCTTGACTCGCACGGATCTGTCAGAAACAAATACATTGTTATACTTAGTACGTATACTTCCTCGGTTCACCCATCAGAAAATGGGTACCCGGCGGGATAAGTCATGTGACTAATAACCTAGCGCTTCACTGGCAGGTTGGGTTATCCGGGGTAATAATAGCGCTATGGGCATTCACCTAGTGAATGGAGTTTAGCGCATTATAAATGCACTTATTGCTATTGTTATTATTATGTTTTACAGATTAAAGATAATATGCAGCAGAGAGGGTTTGGGTGATCCTGGCACAGTCAGGTTGGTAAGGCTCATCATCAGCTCAGGGCCCTTGCCCCCTCTACACGCAGCCCAGACAGCGAATGAGACTTCTCCAAGGAAACGCTGCCTAGTCTAACCCACCAAGAACTTTCCGGAGAATATGAAGGCTCCCCAACACTGCAGCCTTCTGCATTACCCAGAGTGTCAGAAGGGCTGTACTCCCGGTGGAGAACCCGGGCACTCTCCTGATCTGCGCCAAGAGATCAGGAGGTACCAAACCAAGGGCACCGAGAACAATGGGGAGCCTTACGACAGTGTACTTGGGATGCAAGCGAGCCATTTCAATGGCGAGATCCGCATATTTATCATGCTTTTGCTTAATCTTGCCAATCACATTGGTGTCAAAAGGGACAGAAGATTCAATGATATAAATAAATTCATTGGCTTTATCAAAAAGGACAAGATCAGGTTTGTTGGCAGGAATTCTTCTGAGGCTGTATATGGGCCTATTCCACAGAAGTTTGAAAGCATCATTTTCCATGACGCCCTGGACATGTTCAGGGTCGTACCATGGATGGACCTCGGAGTCAAAGCCACAGGCATGTCGGAGACGGTAGTAAAAGCAACGAGCCATGCCATCATTATTATTATCATTATTATTATCATTACGTACACTCGACAAACATTACTAAAGTCCCGTCCATTACGACCTTGGCACTGGTTGATGACACCACTGGTAGCTTGGACTGGATCTTGACACATGTCAAGTTGCATCTGTCCAACATGTGTATACCTCCTCGAAAAACACTGTCATACAACAAGATTCGGGTCGTCTCTCAACACCAGCTTGGTGAGGATCTCACAGGTGTTCAGAAGGCGTTTCCGTGAAACACACAAACGGTGATGTCAGAACAACAAAAGGGACATAACTCTGCAGATCAAATTGCATCACCTTACCGTCATTCTGGTAAAATAGACTGCTAAAATTACGCTTTATTTTTGCTAAAAGATAAGCATTTAACATCCAGTACAACTGCCTGTATAACCAGCTCAAATACAGACACATATATGGCTAGATTATGAAGCTCAGTTTCCGACTACAGGATACCCCCACCGACCAGAGGGTGAGTGAGTGAGTTTAGTATTACGCCGCATTCAGCAATATTCCAGCTATATGGCGGCAGTCTGTAAATAGTCGAGTCTAGACCAAACAATCCAGTGATCAACAGCATGAGCATCTATCTGCGCAACTGGGATAAGATGACATGTGTCAACCAAGTCAGCGAGCCTGACCACCCGATCCCGTTAGTCGCCTCTTACGACAAGCATGGGCTACTGAAGACCAATTATAACCCGGATCTTCGCGGGTTCCCAAGAGGGACAACACTAAATATTGAAAAGGAATTGTAAGTTTTAACTACTGGATGGATGCACATTAAACAGGAATATCTATATTCCACACTTTCATTCACTCTGGGTTTTACATGACGCATAATTCTGGAGTATTTGACTCAAGATGTGAAGATATTTTCATACGCGTCATAGCTGTCGCGATATTTGTTCAAGTAACTGTACCTTGAATCCACATAATACCGTTAAATACACTTAGCAATGTGAGTTTTTTAAATATAAACTGTTTGTCGGCAAAACTAGGCTACCCCACCTTCCCGAACACATGTTGATGTGCGTGAGGTACGTGTTCTCAGATACGACTGAAAGTATACGTACTAGGGTCCCGTTGAGGTGAGTGAGTGAGTATAGTGTTACGCCGCACTCAGCAATATTCCAGCTATATGGCGGAGGTCTGTAAATAATCGAGTCTGGACCAGACAATCCAGTGATCAACAGCGTGAGCATCGATCTACGCAATTGGCATACGATGACATGTGTCAACCAAGTCAGCGAGCCTGACACCCCCCCCCCCCACCCCCACCCCCCGATCCCGTTAGTCGCCTCTTACGACAAGCATGGGTTACTGAAGATCAATTCTAACCCGGATCTTCACGGGTCCCGTTGAGGTAGATTTCCGCACATACAACCGCGTGTTGACGTTACCTGTGATTCGCGTATCCCCACCCCAACACCATGCAACAACCGCGTGTTTGATGTACCCCGAGGTAAGGTGTGTCACAAGCGACCACCATGTAGAGTCGACGTACCTGATGTTTGGCAGTGTAGATACCCAGCAGTCAAAAGAAAAACTGACGCTGTGATTCCTGGTATTCGTCCCATCACCTGAAACTTTAATATTTCAAACAAATTAACACACTACATGTATTTTCAAAATAACCAGTTCTAAATAAAATGATACACGATTATTTATTATGAGAGTAGTTTCCTATTTAGGAGACGTTCGTCAGTTAAACTAGATTTTGTTGTTGTTATTTGGAGTTTCATCGAAATGGAAACACTGAACCTGGAAATTCCTGAAAGAAAGAATATATATACTACAAACAAGAAAAATGGGAACAGCCTAAAATATAAGTTACGTTACATTTAACTTCAGATTGTAGAAGTATGGCAGCAACAAAAATAGCATTGTTTCAATAAGTTTACATACAAGAATATTCAGTTTCAGTTCCAATTTTAGTTAATAAATATCTGTTTTTAAACCACCACCCCACCCCTTTACCCCAGCCCCTACACTTCCCTCATCCCCAGACCCGATTCTCAATACCCAATGGTCGGTGCTTGTTACACTCGCGACAATTCCGGGTATCTAGCAGTAGTTCAAAGAGAATGCTGAAAGTAGTATACTTTAGATAAGCTTTTACGTTTTAATTCTCCGTTATAGAACAATAGATACGCTATGTACTCACTCAAGCCTCCTCTGGCAATGCTCCTACATTAGGTACTGAAATTGTACCCACGAGATTGGTAATTTTCTGGAATTGGAAGAAAACACATTCACGCCCTTGGAAGCGTCAGTCTGTCAGGATTGACAGCGCTGTGATCAGTGTAGCTGTTTTCAGCCCCGTTGCTTGATATACAAGTAGGTAAATGTACACTTTGTAAGGATGTCCCAAATTGATTTGCCAGTCGGCTATGTTAAGTATCCAGTCATGACTAATACCAACAATACCCTGAGAAATCACGTATTCATTATTCAAACATGTCATATTCAATGCGCACTGAGGGTTGAATAGGCAAGTTTAAATTTAGATGTTTCCTTGACATTTAGGGCACTATAGAATATAGCTTGTTCAGCCTGTCAGACTACATTAGAGTTGTTACCGTGGAGATAAGGTCAAAGGTACAGGTGGCGGAAAAGAGAATAAATAATATTGCTTCCCAGTTGTTGAAAGGCTTTTATACTTCGAATGTGTGGTGCATAACAGTACTTCCTGCTTGACACCACTGATGAGATTGAGGCTTGAATTGATTGATTGAGTTTAGTTTTACGCCACATTCAGCAATATTGCATCTATATGGCGGCGGTCTGTAAATAAGCGAGTCTGGACCAGACAATACAGTGATCAACAGCTAGAACATCGATCTGCGCAGTTGGGGTACGATGTCATGTGTCAACCAAGTCAGCGAGTCTGACCACCCGATTCCGTTAGTCGCATCTTACGACAAGCATGGGTTACTGAAGATCAGTTCTAACGTAGATTTTCAAGGGTAGATTAGCTTGAAACGCAACAACAATGTTAGCACAGGCACTTCCCGGTTGACAATAGTGATGAGATAGGGTTGAAACGCAACAACAATGTTAGCACAGGCACTTCCCGCTTGACAATGATGATGAGATAGGCTTGAAACGCAACAACAATGTTAGCACAGGCACTTCCCGCTTGACAATGATGATGAGATAGGCTTGAAACGCAACAACGATGTTAGCACAAGCACTTCAGACTTGACAATGGTGATGAGAAAGGCTTGAAACAGAACAACAATGTTAGCACAGGCACTTCCCGCTTGACTTGTTCCATGAAGATAACCAGGAACTGTTGACAATAACAACTGAACTTACCCATATACCGAGGATTAGAATTTTGAATGATAAATCAGTTTTAGAGCAATGTTTGACACAAGATCCTTTTCATACCATTGTAAACGAATTTGTGACAACTTTAGATATAGACATCAATCTAGCAGCTGCAAAACTAAATGACATGATCTTATTTTGTGCTTCCAACGTGGGGAAAATGTCTTTGGTAAACAGAAGTACCGTGACTAAAACAGAAGTACCGTGACTAAGCAGCCTGGTTTGACCAGGATACTCTACAACGTTATATAGTCTCCCCTGGTTTGACCAAGAATGTGAAAATCTAAAGACACAGAAAACGGAGCATTACACCAAATGAGGAACTTTGCATGTGACGAAAATAGATTTAAATACGTTGAAGCTAAATCAAATTTCAAGAAGTGTTGCAAAATCAAGAAAAGAATTTTGATAAAAAGTAGCACGTGACATCTCTGAAGAGGGCGTCCCACCAAGCAGACATTTGAACCAAATAGACATGCAGAGAGGTGCGCCAGGCCGACTTGCCGGTGTCCTTTGAAGCAATTAACGCCAGCTAGCATTGTTTTGTCAGTACGGGGTCGTCTCAGCTCATGACGAGTTCACCACTTTAGTGAGTTCTAACTCATGGTTTAATTAACGAGTTCACTACTTACTGAATTTACAGTTGTGAACAGTTTTCACACAGCCTATAAATAAAGGAATGATATATTTACCAAACCATTCGCAATCATGGCTCATGCACAGGTAGATCTTAAGTCCATTCCGTCCCACCGTGGAGAAAGAATATTAGTTCATCAGGATACTTGTTCAAGAGCAATAAGAAAAGACATTCCTGGGAGTCATGGGAATGTTTGTTGAAGAGCTGTCCTGCAAGACTGTCAACAGTAAACGAGATCTTGACCAAACAAGCAGCAGGTCATAACCATGAAATGTATGTAAAGTGCCTAAAATACATTTATATAATGTATGTATATGAAAAGTGCTTAAAATAAATGTAAGTAATGCATGTAAATTGCTCAATGTGCGTATGAAATGTTTGAAAATTGCTAGTGATTGATTAAGTGTATGAATAAATGAACGAATGTACGATCATCTTGCCAGTGATCAACAGCTAGAACATCGATCTACGCAGTTGGGGTACGATGTCATGTGTCAACCAAGTCAGCGAGCCTGACCACCCGATTCCGTTAGTCGCATCTTACGACAAGCATGGGTTACTGAAGATCAGTTCTAACGTAGATTTTCAAGGGTAGATTAGCTTGAAACGCAACAACAATGTTAGCACAGGCACTTCCCGCTTGACAATAGTGATGAGATAGGGTTGAAACGCAACAACAATGTTAGCACAGGCACTTCCCGCTTGACAATGATGATGAGATAGGCTTGAAACGCAACAACAATGTTAGCACAGGCACTTCCCGCTTGACAATGGTGATGAGAAAGGCTTGAAACAGAACAACAATGTTAGCACAGCCACTTCCCGCTTGACTTGTTCCATGAAGATAACCAGGAACTGTTGACAATAACAACTGAACTTACCCATATACCGAGGATTAGAATTTTGAATGATAAATCAGTTTTAGAGCAATGTTTGACACAAGATCCTTTTCATACCATTGTAAACGAATTTGTGACAACTTTAGATATAGACATCAATCTAGCAGCTGCAAAACTAAATGACATGATCTTATTTTGTGCTTCCAACGTGGGGAAAATGTCTTTTGGTAAACAGAAGTACCGTGACTAAAACAGAAGTACCGTGACCAAGAAGCTTGGTTTGACCAGGATACTCTACAATTATATAGTCTCCCTGGTTTGACCAAGAATGAAAATCTAAAGACACAGAAAAACGGGCATTACACCAAATGAGGAACTTTGCATGTGACGAAAAATAGATTTAAATACGTTGAAGCTAAATCAAATTTCAAGAAGTGTTGCAAAATCAAGAAAAGAATTTTGATAAAAAGTAGCACGTGACATCTCTCTGAAGAGGGGCGTCCCACCAAGCAGACATTTGAACCAAATAGACATGCAGAGGTGCGCCAGGCCGACTTGCCGGTGTCCTTTGAAGTAATTAACGCCAGCTAGCATTGTTTTGTCAGTACGGGGTCGTCTCTCAGCTCATGACGAGTTCACCACTTTAGTGAGTTCTAACTCATGGTTTAATTAACGAGTTCACTACTTACTGAATTTACAGTTGTGAACAGTTTTCACA